TTAAAAACAACACAGTTGAAAAAAAGTAAACATTTTTTGTCGATAGGTTAATCTTTTTTGGTGTCTGAAAAATGAGCCATTTCAAAAACCTCCCAATTACTGAGTCGCAATCGATGGGCACTTTACCGTCATCAAGCAACCCAAGCTGAGCTACAGCATGTTCAGTCAGCTGGTTTTACTGCTGCAGGCGCCATACAATGGCTGCTGGAAAAGAGAAAAGTGTTTTGTTGCCGACTTATCAACTAGAAACAGATTCTTGTTGGTTGTGCTTCTGCTTTTCAAAAATATAAATTTGTATAATCATTGGATTTAAAGTGACAAATCAGCTCACTCTGAAAATAGTTCAAATTAGGCAGAACAGACCACAATAAAATCTCATTACGTGAGAATAATTTTGGGCAAAAAAACATTTCTGCATAGCCTGTAGGCTAAACTGTTTAAGGAAGCATAATAGGACATGTTTAATGTTTACCTTTGGCTTTGGTATTAACTGAACAATCATATTTCTCATATTTAGCTTAGCAGCACTGAGCCAGTAACAAATTGTATTATATTCTGTAACACTGAACTCCATAAAATCCTCTGTTAAGAAAAATACATTTGTTATAATGAAAATATTATATAAATACACAGCCTGCATTATCAATTATCAAAGCTGCATTATCAGAGTTGTGACCAACTCTGTTTCATAATGAATGTCTTACTTCATTTTCCTCGATCTGTTTGCTCGCCTTCAGTTGTAAAACTTTATCGAGTGAAGACAGATGAGCTTCCCTGAAAGATTAAGGTAAATATGACACTGCTGCCATAACAGCAAAATAAGGAATGTCATTATAAGGGCCTGAACTGATTTTTAAAAAAGCACAATCTAAACAAGACATGCTGCGCTATATTTCTCAAACTGTCATGATTTCTTTAACCCTTATCAAAACATCAAATCTCTTACTCTTACATAAGTATGAGATACTTACTTCAGTAAGTATTTCTGATGTGCATATTAGCTTACCAAAGAATAATAATGGATAAATGACCAGGTCACTAAAATGAAGATACTGGTGGAAAGTTTCTCAGGTTGAGTTGCAGAACTTTTGTTTTTGAACACTATTACCACAGGTATGCAGATCTAGATCTGCGGCTGTGCAGAATGCAATACAACACTTGAGTTATTGAATAGAATGTGATGTTTGGAGGCAGTTCAGGAATGAACTGTTAATGGTTTGCCCGTCTTGAATGTGATAACAGACTTTTTGTGTGTGCTTCATCTCATGTACACGTTCTGATGCAAGATCGCATCGTGTCTCGATAGTACAGCAGGTCTTTGCTTCAGGGGCAGGAAGAGCAGAAACTGCACACTCCAAGAAGAAAGAAAAACAGGGGAAAGAGAAAAGCATGGCTGTCAGCATGTTCCCCGCTGTACCAAAGATGAAACAGCTTTGAGCACGTCAGCATGCACTTGGACTAACAAGTCTCTCCTACTTTGTCTCTCCTCTGCACTGACACACACAATATAACACACACGGGGAATGTCCTCAAATGTCTCCTTGACATGGGGGCTCTTAAGAAGAGGGAGAACAGCTGATAAGAAAGAGAGGGATGAAGGGCAGGCGAACAACAACGCATATCGCTGCCAGCACACAGAGAACCGTTTGTCCTCTTACCGTCTTTCTGCTTGAGATTTTGTCACACTTGAATGTTTCAGATCGTGAAACTAACATTAATATCAGACAAAGGCAACCTCATAAAATTAACAAAGCAGTGACTAGCTATGCTAGCTGACCTGGCATTACATGGAATCAAATCATTGAATTAAATGTGGTTAGCTAAAGGGGAAATATGCAAAATTCACATTTTGCACGTTTTTATACTTCTAATTGGTTCTCAAATGCTTCTAAGAGCTTAAGACAAAAACCCTTGCCAGTTTTTGAGAAAAAACATTTCTAGAAAATGTGTTATTTCAGAAACCTACAGAATGTAGCATCACAAATCAGCAATCACTCCCCCTTACCAAGCAACCCAAACAAAGCCCAGCCCGTCACCTAGCAACCCAAGCAGAACTCCAGCACATTTGGTCAGCTGGTCATACAACGGCTGCTGGAAAACTCTATTTTGTTGTTGACTTGACCCAGAAACCACTTGCTGCACTCTTGTTGGTTGTGCAGGCTCTTTTAATGCCTTTCAAAGATGTATGGTTGCATAATTGCGCATCTGCTCACAGCCATTTTCAGGTGCAAGTGTAAACGTTGAATTATGAGGCATGGCTACCAGCAGTGACTTATTTGCATTTAAAGTGACAAGAGGCCCAAAAACAATTCAAATAGGTGGAACTGATCAGACAGAAATCACCTTATCTGACCATGATTTTGTGAAAAAAATGTAATGAACATATTTTAAGTAGCCCATAGAGCTATCCTGACCTGTTCAAGAAAGCAAAATATGTCAATATTCTCCTCTAATGTGAAAAAACACAATTTCACGATGACTGTTTCCATTAAATAAGAAATCCAATTAAAATCCAACGTTAATAAGCTTATTGACATGACAAATTAAAAAACATGCACCGCCATAATTCTCCAACCACTTCCTGTGGTCGTCTTCTTTGTGGTTTGTGCCAGTGGAAACATCCGGTTCTCTAACATGTGACTCGTGTGAGGTGGAAAAAATCGTTTACATTGTAGTTTCATGTAATAAACACAAAAAAAAAAAAAAAAACACCTGAACCTAGCGCCAAAACATTTTAGCAAAAACAAGTTTTTTTGAAATTGCCATTTTTCCATAGGGTGAATTTAATTTCTAAGTTGTGATAAATAAGAAACAAAGATTGATTTGTGTGAAGAGTGGAAACAAATGACATATCAGGCTTTTCTGTCAGTCTGCATGCTTACGTATAGCCCATATACTATCTTCATACAGAACAAGAAACACACACAAGGAAAGTCATACTTCTGGGAGCAGAACTAATCCCTTTTCCCTTCATAGGTCATAGAAATGCTCTGAATTTACCAGCAATGACCCAAAAATACCTACCTTCACTGCCCTGATCGCACTCTGATTATACATGTAAATACAACCAGCTGTGGCCTACTAACAAGCAGTCAATTAAAAGAAAATGGTGAGCTTAGATTTCATCCAGTGACATTGATGGTTGACTGTCGCTTGCCTTTACACCCGTTTTATTTCAAAATATTTGGCCGTCATTTACCAGTGTTGATCTGATGTAAGAAAGAAGCTAGATATACAGTAGCTAGAAATAAATACCAGCAGCAATGTCTGTACTTGTGAAGCTAACAGGACAAAAACAACATTTACCGCGTTAGAAGCCTGTTTAAAGCAAACCGAGGTCAATGCGTTGGGAGTTTTATGCCACTGTGCTTGACTGATGCAAAAAAGCATCTGTGAGCAACATGAATGTTGATGAGGACTTCCCCATGAGGATTAAGGATGGCCTTCCTCTTGTCACACATCATCAATTCATAATGCATCGCAGGCAGCAGCTCTTTTTGCTTCATTCTAGTTTACTGCTGCAATATGTATGAAGCCAAATCTCTGCCAACTGAGAGTGTACTCCTCCTTGTGTCGCTTGGAGGCCAGATTTCATAATTAGCACTAAGTTTAGGAATGTTATGGTAAAAATTCCTGACATGAATTTGTGTTAAATTTGTTGACAGAGCTAAATTAAGAAACTCATGCTAATATGTTAGGCATAAAACCCACACACCGACTCTGACAGATCATCAGTAGAGAAGTTGCATAAATTAGCTAATCACCAACAGCTAGTGTTCAGACGATCACTTATTAATAATTACGAATTATAAATGAAGCCTGAAAACCTAAAACTGTAACAGACTGATTGTTATGTGTTGTGGATTTTAAGTCCTGTTCCATGATTGTTTCTGTGTTGATTCTCCTCAAAAGAAAAAAAGAAAAAAGATTATAAAAGTGGTTTTGAGTTGTTTTTCACTTGTTTTTTTTTCTCTTTGTTGTATCCGCCGTAACTTCTGCAACTTCAATAAATGACAAAAACTGAACTAGTTGCCTTGTTTCTTCATAGAGCATCAAAATATTCATAACAGTTACCATGTACGATAAATATAAAAAGAAACACGAATGTCTCCTACAGTGCCGATTTTGTAAAATTAAATTAGCTGTCCAGTATAAAAGAGAAATTCATTTAATGATTTCTTGTACCTCGACAGAAACCAAACTGTATAAAGATTTTTATCTAGAGAGAACGCAGGTATGAATTTTCTCAGCTTAAAATAAGTCACACTGTGTAGAAATCTGATAAGAAATTTACTTTTTTGTGACAGATTCCTGTTCATTCAACTTTGGAATAGACTTGCTTTTCTATTGGTGGTCACACTTACTGATTATTAATTAAACAAGTGAATCGATGAACATCTCCTGAATGCTAATTAGGCTAACTAGACATAGTGGACATTAGTTGGAACATTGAGTTATCAGCAGACGACAGCAACAGAAAATGTTGAGACTGTTGAGATTGGGGAATTTGTAAAATTGCAATGTTTATATTTGCCTCTTCACATAATAGCCATCGTGTTTGTGAGTCAGTGGTGTCACTGCAGGAAACAAACAAACAAATCATCTTTTTTCCTGTAATGTTGACAGAGGGAGAACAGCCACAGCCTTTGTTTATGAAGGTTTTTCTTTCATATTTGTGATTTGATGGGAAACGTTTCTAAAAATAAAGTGACATCATTCAGCTGTGTTATGTTCCCCAAAAGTTAAAATGTAGCTGCCGCCATAAAGCAAAATAACCACAAAAAAGTATGTTTTAAGCATTTAAATCAGAATTTTAATTCAAACAGACAATGTTTAGTTCGGTGTCTCCAACTTTATCTTTGTTTTTGTCATCTGGCCTGTTGCTGCTCTAAAAGTGTAAACGGTAATGCCTGGTTAAACTGACACACTTTCAGATTATATCGACTGAATTTTTGTCCCATTTGTTCAGTTTTATTGCTGGAATTTTATGTTATTTGTACCTTAGAGTTGCTGTGTCTTTCCATTTTGTCAGCATCCTTTTCTTTCTTCTTCTCCTCTTTCTTCTTGTCACGTTCTTTCTGCAGACGAGAAAGAAAATATTACTCCTCAAAAAATTAGAACAGAAGACTAAAATTAAGATTGAAAAACATAACTTGAGATTTAAGATCCCAAATCTAAAAAAAGGCAGTTTGGAAATATCAAAACTTTATGTTTTCTACCTTGAATTTTAAATTTTTACGACTCTTTGAATGGCCCAAAACGCTACTTTTACACTTTTAGGCCTGAAGGTGGCGCTAAACAAGGAGAATGGGGCCTAAAACCTCCATGTGAGGTTATTAGTGGTTATTAGTTAATGTTTGTATATTGTTATTCTTAGGCTGTAATGTTAAATTCACTCTAAAATTACATTCTATGTTCATATATATCACACAAAAATCAATTAAGGTTTGTGGTTGTTTGTTTATCTGGATCCCATTAGTACGTTTAACTTTGGTCCAAATCATAAAAGCACGTTTACTGCAGTCACTGTAAAAACAGTTACACACGCTTAATGTAACATTAGTAACATAACATAATTGTCCAACAAAATGTCCAATTATAACACTTTAGATAATAAAATCAATAGGATTTGCTACATTAAAAAATATATGTAAAGAAAGGGAGTTTAATGTTTTCATTCCTCTAGATTAGAAGTAATACTTTGGTCCAGCAAGAGCAAAACAAGCTTTTAAAGCATGAGTTGTACTTATATTTTAAATTCTATTATAACATGACAAAATGTAAAAGAAGGTGCAACAGATATTAATACTGTAGATCAGCGTTATTTAAATATACTTCAGCAAACCAAATAAGATAACTTTTCTAGAAAACATCTTGTGATCACTATTTGGTGTAAAAGTAACACCATCAATTTGACTTCGATCATAATAAAGTGCGATGTTTGACAGGAAAGCAAAATGAAGGCACTTTTCTTCCTCACCAGCCCATCTAACGTCCATCATAACACCGCACAGGGTGAAGCTACAGTCCCCATCTCAAAGGTATGCTGTACGTCACATCTAGGACTAGATGTGTGTCCCTAATGTGATAATAGTGCACTCAGAATGCAGATTTAACACGCAGACATCATCCAGCAGGACAAAGCTGACGGGCTTTTTCAGGTTAATGCTTCTGTGTGCTGTGTTATGTGCAAATGAGGCTGTGTTGATTGCCAACAGGGCTTAGGTAATGGTTGCCAGAAAGGCTGCAGTTTAGCGAGCATAGCCTATAATCTTGCCATTATAGCGACAATAACTCAGATGCCTCTGCTCTCCACTTGCTGCTTAGTTGTTGGTATTTATTTATGTGGAGAGGCTGATATTTCTTCTGGGATCTTGATGAACAGAGGTATGTATGGATCAATATTTAAGAGGATGGAAATCAAACCAGACAAGGGAACCTGCTCTGCCTGCAGCAGCTGCTGTAATTTTTCATCTTGGAGGAATAAAAGGATGAAATAATAGAATACAAACCAGAAAATAAGGAAAAACACTCACAATGAGAAATTATCTGTCAATTTTATTGCTTAATTTTTAAACTCTTGACTATTTTTCTCAGATATAAGCAAAAAATAGAAAAATTACACCAATTAAGCAGCTAATGTGCAATAAAAAGTATTTGCTCCTCTGAAAGATTTATTCTGCTTTAAAATTTTTCAGATTTAACTTTTTTAATAAAAGCAATTGAGATAAATCTAATGTAATTTAAAATGTATTTGCCTCTTTGCAAAAATTTTTTAGCTTTTTTTTGTCTGAATTTAATGCTTCAGATTAAAGAAATATTGGATTTTATTTTATTTTGACCTTTATTTGTACAGGTTGTCTAAATGAGATGCAAGATCTAATTTACAAAAGATCTTCTTAGATAAAAAATAAAATGAAATCATAAATATTATATCTATAACTATTACAGATAATCCTAATTCATACAAAATTTAATTCTTACATGATGCTTTTTGTATCTAAACCATCCTGGCCTTGTTTAAAAAAGTAATTTGAATTTAGATTATTTCTAGAAATTTGGAAGAAATTTTCCACCAAATGAAGCAAACTGTCATTTAAAAATGTCATTTTGTATTGACTGATTAATGATCTGAACTGACTGACTAGCTTCGTCACAATTTTGTAAACATCCATTAGAGAATTTGAACATATTATCTCCAAACCTCTCTGCCCCACTCCAGGTCTCTGACTCCATTAGCTCGGAGCTAATGATGCTAGCATTACCCAATTTGTTTGTGCAGCATTAGAAGGTTTTTATACTCCTATCTAATCACGTCTAATAAAACAGAAAACTGCAACGGTGTTCACTCCTTCACATATAATGCTGACTAACACCTCAACGCTGAAGGTTTCAATCAGTTTCTGTCTATTTAGCCAGCAGAACTCAGGAAAACTGACCATTTGAATATGACTAAATAAAAGTATCAGCAGACTTAAAAAAGTAAGAATGGAATCAGGAATTTGTGAAAGAAATTATAAGCACAATTGATATATGAAACAACTTATGATTTAAAACACAATTCAGATAAGACTTATGAAACATTATTTTAGTAGTACGGGTACGAGGGACAAGAGCTGAACTCTAAATCTCCTCTTAGTCTAATGCTGCAGCACAGCAAGGCAAGATAAACGTTTTTGCAGAATAAAGAAGAAACCCACACCTCTGATCTGGTCTTGTCAGCCTGGGAGGAAGGCGAGGTGGAGGGAGCAGCTGCTTCAGCTTTCTGCTAAAAGACAGAAAATCAGCTGTTAGACATGAAGACAAGAAAAAAAAAAAGACAGAACATTTAGACGAGCATGGAATAGGGCATGGTGAGAAGAGAAAAGTGGAGCAGAGAGAGCAGAGAGTTAATTGGGAGTAAAGGAGGATATGCTTCTTGTACACAGTAGTGAGACTTGAGTCCTAAAAGTTACAGAGGCTTTATTAGCTGCTGCCGACCTCTGGGAAAGACTGTGCATGGCTGGACCTTTGCTCTGGTTGTTTCACCAAGCAGCGGATTTCTGAAATCATAACTGAGCTTGAATAGCTGTAGGTTGCGGAAAGCCAGTATTGCCACATTTCAGCTTTGATAGCAGGTGTTCCCAACACATTTTACAGCCTAAATGTTCTGATGAAAGCCGGTTAACGAGTTGCTAATATGTAAACATATGGCGGTTCCGGTTTGCGGCGGAAGTCGCGCCATAAATCAGGCAAAGCCTAATGGGGGCTAGAAATAAGGTGGATAAACCAAAACACAGAACATCTGGTGAGTTTAACAATTTATCCACCTATCCTTGGTTTACTAAATTATAAGAAAGAATATTAGTTAGAAATAAGTAATAATTAGTGTTTTAAACAGTTCATCATTTAGATGAAAATAAATGCTGTTGTTCTATAACCATATTGCAATGAAATATGTTTTTACCTTACACCTTAATTAGTTTTTTTTCTTATTTTAAGATGTCCTGGTGGTAACACTGTTTTAAATCGGTCTGACCTAGTCATAAGATCTGTTTATGTCTATCTTATTGTGTCTGTAGTTTGGTTTTTTTACCCAGATGCAGAGTTGTGTCATTGTGACCAATAGGAAATTTTATCTGCAGTAGCCACAGTTCAACCCAAAGAGGGCAGCACTGAGACTGTTTTAGGGCAAATATCGCAGAATTAAACTATTGTTTGACAAAAATATCAAAATTTGCAAAGTAACATGAAGATAGTAACACCCCTAAGGTCCAATATATACATTTTATCTTTAAAAAAAAAGTTAACTTGGGGTTTAGCTACTCTTTAAAGTGAACTGAAAGCGCATTGTAAACACGTACAGAAATCAGAACAAGGAGAACAGAGATCAGAAGGGATTAAAAAAAGCAACAACAAAAAAAAGATATTTGAACTTTAATAATGCCGATCAGAGCAGCCTACACTCAGGCTTACATTGGCGTTATGGTGCAAAACGTTGCCCTTCCTGTCCAATGTCAGGCAACAAAGCTCCCAATGTGGCTCTGCACACACACAGGCAGATGAATAAAGGATAAGGAGGAATAGCTAAAGACTTTAGGGAGAGACGGAAAGAACAAAGTAAGGAAAGGTTCATTTTCATTTCTCCATTTGCATGCACGGCACTTTCATGTCCAGGACACTCCGGAGACTTCAAACCAAGTAAGTGAAAAGCGTTGCTAATGCTTTCAGCTGCCTTGTGCCCACAAAATCCGTCATAAAAGCAGGTGAGCAACAAGAAATGAAAGCGCTACCATCATTACTGCCATTCTCAATCTGTCGCTGTGACCCGTACTGATCCACTCCCATCAGCCGCACAGAACTTCCTGCAGCTCTTCTGCTGACAGTTAACAGATTTAACTTCTGATGCGACCGTGCCCTTGTCTGCATCTCGCTCCTATTTATGTTTTGCCGTCTGGATGTTTGCTCCATTTCTCGATGCATCGCCGCTTCCCGGGAGATTTTCGCCTCGTCTAGCTTTAGCTTCTTCTCAACTGTGTTTCAAAAATGTGCCGAGAGTTTTAAGGTCAAAAGGACAGAAAAACAGAACAGAGCCATGTAAAAAGCAGAGAATTTCATAGTGTTTTCTAGAAGGTGAGAAATGATTTTGATAAAAATACAAGAGAATTTGATTCAAGACACAAAACTGTGTCAGGCTGGAGGATATTTTTCTGCTCCTCAAATAATCATTTTATTTAATTTTACCAAAAAACCTGGACAAAATTAATACACCATTTTGTTTGCATTGCAAGCAATAATAATCTCATCAATGCTGTTTGCCTTGACCTTGAACCCCAGTTGAAAACAAGACAAATACTGAATAAAATGAATTTGAATAAACTAAAACTACAGTTTAAAGTAGAACAAATTCGAAATGATTTGTGTCCAGGATATGTGGGGTCCATTCGGTCTGTTTCCAATTCATGTAATGTTTTATTCTTTCATCTGTGGAACAAATTAACACAAAAAATGAAGATTCAATCAGCTATGAGATAGTAAAGCAACAAAACAAACTAGTGCAACCTCCCGAGACTTCAATCTTCGTTGTTATTAGTTTTGCATATTTGAAATGTTTTCCAGTTTCAGTGTCAAATGTTTTTTCAAAAATTAAAGTTCATTAAACGTTCACAGAATGAACTTTCATCATTATCCCATTACTTGAAAATGATCTTATCGTTTATCGCAGTAATTACTGGGACAAATTATTGTCCATCAAAATTTGTTATCATTTTGAGAGTTTGGTATTTTTAGCAATAACTCAGATGTCTGATAAGCTCTCACAAATGACTGAATGTCTTGAATCAGAAGCCTCTTTACTTTCTCCTACTGCAGATTAAAAATAAGCAAAAAACACACCTTTTGGCCTGAATTGCTAAAACCAGAAACATTTCCAAAAATAGGTGATCCAGCAAACATCAGTCCTCTCCTCCCTAAAGCCCCTCAGGCAGAAAACTAATGCGGACTACTGAGGGCAGGACACAGAAACATTTTCATCTTTCTCCATTTACATCCGTCTCCCCTATCAACTGTAAAGGCATCAAACGCTGTCGCTGCCTGTGGTGCTGAATTCACAACATTTTCCACTCTCTTTTCTGGCTCTGTTGGGGTCTTTTCGAGTTTTTCCCCGCTCCCCGTTTAAGTTTCCTCCTCCTCTTTTTTGGACTTCAGAGCTGCAGGAGATGTGAGCGTGGCTGTAGACATGCAAAGACAGGCCGCTGAAGACGATAAAGAGGAAGAAGCTGGAGGGTGAAGAGAGACGAGAAGAAGAGCAGAGAACAAGACGACTGTTGAGTTGAACAGAGACCGAATAGATTTTAGGACCACTGTAAGTAAAATAAAGAAAGAGTTCACAGGTATTAAGCCTTTTCACGTGTCGTGACACTGTCCAGAGTTTTGCCCACTCCGCCATGGCGGACATCAAAACAACCAATTCCTTCCTATACAGAAAGTCTAAAAACATCTGTAACCTAATATCGCTTTTATTTAGTTGATTTCACTTTAAAAATGGTCACAGGGTGCTGTGTGGTAGAGAGTTTGCACAAACAGAAAAGGACACAAACCAAAAGTATCATTTTATTTTATAACTTTTAAAGAGGAAAGATGCGGTGATGAATATCAACTATAATGACTGTTAGCCCTCGGTGTTACTTTTTACAAAGTAAGAAGACCAACGTTCATGTACTTTATAAGTAAGTATGATTAGAAAGATATCAAACATCACATCATGGAGAAAGTGCGTGCAACAAAACCGCACCATCGTGTAGCCGAGAATGTATGGAAAAAACTGATTAGCATCTCTTCTTTAGTGTGTTTTCAAACCTGTTCCTGTTTAAGGGGAAACTCTGTTCATAACTTAGTGATATAAATCATGTGGTGTGAATTCAGTCAAAGTTGGTAATTTGATCAACACAAAGAAGGAGGAGGTACGGTTCGGTTCCTAAGCTAGCTGCTTCCAGCTTCTGTAAATACTGCCGTCTATGAGCCCAACCAGGTATGTTACATTCACAGACAAATTAACTCGACTCGTACAAGTAGAAGCCATGAATAAACTGGCAAAAAAATTATTTCAGTCACTCTGTTCAATACTCCCGTCCCTCACTTCCTGCCAACGATCGCTTAAATTCTGCAGCACATCTACATGTTAAGGTTGTAAAAGTCAAGCTAGCATAGTTTACCTACTTCCCTTTGACTCACCATCTTTTTAATTAAACCTTTACACTGACCTGTGGGATGTGACACCCTGAGACCTTATTATCTTTTCATAATGCTGACAATTACTACAAAACCACTATTTCTTTAATATTTCAGGCGTACATTTAAGACTTAGCGCATTATGGTGACAACTTGAAAGCTAAAACAAATGGTGGTCATTGCCTGTGAGCTGGAGGGCGTCACGCCACGTTGCAATGTGTCTATAAATCTGAAAAAGGCGCCTCCTCAAATAACCTCAGTGATAACAGAAATGGTACATAATCACTGATATAAAAGGCAAAAAAACTCAAAAGAACTCTGAGGAAAAAACTTTCGCTGCAGGTCCTTTAATGCCCGCCGATGTCAGAGGATTAGCAGTTAACAAGGTTGCCATGGCCGAGGCTGTGGACACAGCAGGCAGGACAGTTCAATGACTAACACAGACAAATAAGGTTGAAAATAAGCAAAGTCACCCCTAAGGCAACTCCGCTGCTCTCTTGTGACATTTTTAGGCCAATCAGTGGAGTCATCACAGAGGGCTGGCAAGATGCACTGTGAAATAAGACGCACACACAGCTACAAATTCACCCTTGACACAACAATAAACCAATGCTGCAGGAGCAGGGAAATGGAGAGCATCCACTCATGTACTTCAGCATGAATAAAGACCTTCAAGCTTCTATTTTCTGTTTTATTGTGACTCATCTGAAAACGCAGCTGCTGAGGCATGAAACAAACACGCACACAGCATAAAATATCTAGAACCATTCATTTCAATGAAAAACAAACTTGTTCTGCACAAAAGTTTTGAAATTAAATGTGCAGGAAAGTCTGATTCATTTTTCACAGAATGACCATATTTGGTAATAATAACATGACCCGGAGATCCAATCAGAATATGGCATTAAAATCTCCACTTCAATGGTTCTCATATATATGATATATTTAGCTTTTTGTTATACATCTACACAAGATTTCTGTCTTCTTTGGACATCATTTGCAACCTCAGAGACGTAATCATAATTATTTGGGTCAATATTAGATTTTTTTTTAAATCTAAAATTAATTTTAAATAAATTTGGAAAATCCATACACTTGAAAAACATAAAATTTTATTTGAACATAAAGTTTTATTTTACTTAGAAACTTGCAAAGTTACAACAATAATTATTTAGCCAAGAATCAACATTAGCAAGCTCACCGGACCAAAGCGGACAATAGGAATATGGTTATTTTAGTGCAGTGATTTAAATTAAAGGAAGAAATTGTTTATTTACTTCCAGATCTGACTATAAGAGGATCAGCCAAGGGTCATGCACAAAAATTGTTGGTAATCGCTTTAAAAACAACTGTGGCCAGACAATGGAGACTTTTCAAAATAAGAGCGTACTTGAAAAGCTAATTTGCCAAGAAAAACCTGAAACTGCAAAAAGATCAATTTCATACATGGATTTTGTTTTAACGCTAAAATTGATTAATTGCAAAGCCTGAGTACACATATACAGTGGACTGTTGTTTGTGAGTTTCACTTTTACAACTAAATTACAGAAATTAATTGAATTTTATTAAATTTTATTGCACATATTTAGAAGCTAAAATGTTCTATTTCACTGACTGTTCAGAAAAATATCAATCAGTAGCACATTACGACAATTCATGGGCAACTTATTTGTAGTTTCTGTTTTGACTGATAAAGCAATACAATAAATCAGAATAAATTTCAAGTGTAACTAACTTCAAATGATTATTTGTTTCCCCCAATAGACTGTCTAAAGGCTCCTAGGGGTGCTAACTTTATGTTTCTGTGCAAATTTTGACTTGCTAATTTTGCAGGCCTATATGTCACCATAAAATTTTTAAAAAATCACAAAAGCAACAAAACAAAGGCACTGGATTAGTCGCTAGTCATTTTTTTAAAAACAAAAACCTGCCAGAAGATCTGTAAAGTTGTTAAATATAGCGGCAAAACTTAAAAGTTAGCATCAGTGTGTTTCTTCCTGCTCTGTTTTAGCCCCTCCTCTCACCCAACACTTGGCCACGCCCCTCTGTATTTAGGCTCCGCCCACTTTGGTGGAATTTTTCAAAACTTGTCAGTTAAATCACAACTTTTCGCTGTTATTAAACCAGACAACCTGAGTCATTATTCGGTTCCCAACTCGAACTGCAGCTCAGAGTTACTGTCGTCCGCCCTCTCTTCTCCCTTCACCATCTGTGTGAAACTACTTAAAGTGATAATGAGTTGTTTTTAATAAGAAATTTGCATATAAAAGCGAAGACGTGCATGTGGGCAACCGAAACACATCCTGGATCACAGTCTGGCTGCTGGTGACGCCTCAGAGAAACACAGAAGAAGAGAGAGAGATTTCTCTGATGGTGTTCATCCATTTCACATCCTTTGCCGAGTTTGATTTGAAGTGTTTCCACATTTTTTTCCGTTTGTTTTCTGACTCCTAGGAAATGCAAATTGAAAATCTGGGAGCGAGAAAAGTAGTTATTATGGCGACTCCATTACAGGGTAATGTGTAAAATAGAGACACAACGGATTAAAAAATTATATTTTAGATATATTTTGAGCAGAACATAAAAAATAAAACATTTATTTTCCTCTTATTATGTTTGGTGGATTTGGTTTGGACTATGAAGTACATATTTTTCATTTAGTTTAACCAAGTCTGATACTTTTTTCTTCAAAATTGCATCATTCTGTTTAATGTTGATGATGGGCCAAAAACACAAATACAGCTAAAAAAAAACATAAAAAGTGTAACATTTTCCATCACTCATTTAGAAACTAAAACTCATTTTGTATAAATTAATTACACATAAAGTGAAATGTTTCAAATCTTTATTTCTTGTAATTTTAATTATGTTTTTAATGAGCAGTTTTGGTCTTGCCCTTACATCGGTTTTTGAGAAATATTCCAAATATGGATGGCTGTCTACTGTGCAATATTTCATACCCTTCTCCTGACTGATACCTTTGTGACAGAGGACACTTTGTAAAATGTCTGCTAACTATAACTTGAGAATTATCAATGTTGCTGAACACGTGAACATTGAATGCTTAAACTGGACCTCAAGTTGCTTCAACAAGGTATTAAAATAACGGTTTGCAAACTATTCCAAGTTGTTGTTTGCCATTTTTTACAGTTTTGGCATCAAATCTTCTTTCACAGATAGAGACTCTGAGTCTAAACACACAGAATTAGGAAGCATGCTCACTCTAAAAAGACTAGAAACTGTTTTAAAGGTTATCATTAACTGGGTCTGTAAAGTCTTGGCATCGGTTCTGGTGTTGTTTGTGCAGTAATCAGGCCTGAAAGGGCTTCGACTGCCCTTTAAAATGTCATTACTGTAATGGATCTAAAGAGAGAACAGTTCAGCAGAACCAAAAGAAAACAGTTTGTTGACGGCAACATCAAGTCTGATGAAACCAAAACTCAGCAAATGCATTCTTGTGAAAATGACAAGTGTTTCTGGTCTAGTTTTTAATGCAAATATCTTATTACACTTGAATTAAGACAAAAATAACTTAAAAGTAACTTTGTAGCAAGATTTAGAGGCTTGTTTTAAGTAAATAATTCCTTAATAATGAGGAGGAAGTACTTGTTCTGTTGGCAGATTATTTCACTTATGACAAGGGTGTGAAACTCATTTTCGTTTTGGGCCAAATCAAGATCCTGAATGTTATTAAAGGGCCAGTTGTGCCAGAATGTATCAATGAAACCTGTTAAACTGTTAAAATATCAATGAAGTCTTAAAATTAAATAATATTATTGAACATCTTTTCAGTCATTCCAGTAAAAATGAATAAAAATCAAAGTATTTGTGGTACTAATTTAAAAATATTTGCGCTTATTTAGGACGATAAATGTAACTTTTCATTACTCGCTGTATAGATGGACTATAATCTGACATCGATAAAAGCTGAGGCAGCAGTTTAGTACAAGTAACTAAGTTTTATTGACAATTTTTGAGAAAAATGTGTAATAAACTCCCAATTATGTCTTAGCGCTAAAAAATGTGTAAATTTATTGACTTTGCATGAATTTCCACAATAATTCTCCAGAAACAGGAGGGGCTGATTGATATAATTTAGCAATAAACACATAAAAACTGAAATGATTTGATTGATAAAATAATATTTAAGCACACTTAGTGTTTAGTCTTGAATCTAGAGGGCCATATAAAAAGCTGAGGTGGGCCAGATTTGGCCCACGGGCCTTGAGTTTGACACATGAGACTTAAAAGAACACTAATTTACAAGTTTATTTGGAACAAGCACTTTTCAATGTTTAAAAGTAATTATTTAATTAAAACAAGTGTGTATAAATTGCTGAAAAGTTGCTTTTAAGTTAGTTTGTCTCATTCCAAGTATACTGACGTGTTTGGAATAGAAACTGGACAAAAACACTTGGTAAAATTTTATGTTTTTGCAGTGGAGATAAAAGTAGTAGAATATGTCAGCCATTCACAATCTAATTTTAAAGTTTCAATAAGTTCTGAATGACTAAGAATTACAAATATTTCATTTTTTTGAGTTTGTTTTGAAAAAACATGTGGAATTCGATTTCGGCTTCCACATGTGGGAGATTTTCAACAAAGGAGGAGATAGAAAAGCTAAAGGGAAGGAAAAAGTTGTCATTTTACATAAGGATGATTTCTGTCCTCTGCCTATTTGGGCCTCTAACAACCTCACAGCTACCAGTGCAGCACAGATTACATAAAGCAGCCTCCAACCACTGCAGCTGTAACAATAACATGCAGTGACTGAAAATGGAAAATACAACATGTGCTGGTGATACTCACTGAGGCTGCGGCCAAGGCTTCCTGGTCGTAGTACTTCTTCCTCTCGTATTTGTCCCGGATGAAAACTTCCACGGCTCTAAATCTTGGAGTGAAGGACTGGAACTGGAAATAATTCAACCACACTGCAAAAAACACAAACTCTTAACAAGTATTCCTCAGTTTGGTGCTTTGGTCTCAATTAATGTGCTGATCTACGAGATTAAGGCATTACCACTATATTACTTGAAAATGGTTTCAAAACCACATTATCTTTTATTGCAACAACTTCTAGGACAATTTATCGTCTTATAGACTTAAAACAAACTCCTATATCTTGCTGAAACTTGTAAGTCAGTTTTGTCTTATTTCAAGTGCTGTAAGATATTTGGACTAGAAACTAAAAACACGCAGCTTCAAAAAAGCGTTAATAATATGACCTCATCTCAAACTTCTCATTTTTTCGCAAAGATTTTGGTGTGAAACTGAGTTAATAACAATAAGACGAATGTACATTCTGATTGACTTCAGAGGGTTACTCTCAGATCTAATGATTTGTTTGAGCTATTTATTTCAAGATTGAGAGATTTAAGCTGCTCTTGGAAATGGTAAATTAATTTATATTTGTTGGTTCTCCCCTTGCTTTCTGTTTTCCGGTACCTAGTGCTATAGCTAGCATATTGTGTTATGCTAGCTACCCTGCTGGTAGCATAGCATTGGTGCGAGTGCACTACCAGCTAGCTAGGATAGAACTGGTGGTAGCTAGCATAGCTAATTAGTCTGAAGAAATCAAGCTCTTCTGTCCTTTTTAGTGCTGTCAATAATGGTTATGTATACACTGCTCATACCCAAACCCTTTCTATCTGCTACGCTGCAGCTGGTTCACCTAACATAGCCTGTCCTGAATGTTAATGCTGGTCAGTTAGAATAACCACCATGAGCAAGTACTACAGCCATACACAGATGTGATTGACAGCGCTACGACCCTCCTCCTGGCTCTGATTGGTTGTTTTTGACCATATTTCTTAGCCCAGGTAGGAGGTGGAGCAGATTTTTAAAAATCAGATTATCTGTATCAAAACATACTGTCACAACATGGTGACAGTTTTAAAGAAATATCTAACAAAAAACATATTTTTACCATAAAGGTTATATACCACAGCTTTTAAACACATGTAGTTCTAAAAATAACATGTTAAAGTGATCAATTTGATCAAGGTTTATATAGATCTGGTAATAAAATGGTTGCTACAACTGCGACTGTAAAACTATATTTCACATATGCAAGTGTGTGCGCAAACTCTGAGGCTCCCACAATATTCCAACCCACAGCATCACAACACAAGCATTAATCCCAAACCTCTTATCTCCCCATTTCAGCAGCAATGCTTCTGTCAGATCAGTAATAGACCTCAAAAGATTGAGGAGTGATGACCACCCACACGGGTGGAGCTAAGCGATAGGATGGAGGAGGCCTGCACCTCAAACGCAGCCTTTATTTATCACAGTGGAGTGGAAACAGCAGAGCAGATCGGACGCAATCCACGGGGCTTCACAGGATAGAAAGAGAGAAATGACAAGATCGCGTGACGGCAGGGAAGCGTCCGATTAGGTCAGACGTCGCAACAATAAGGGAGCAACAAAAAGAGATTTCGGAACAAATACATCAAAAGAAACCACTGACAAAGTATTGCACATATACAGAAATAACCAAACTGAAAAATAACAAAAATGTTATTCATTCATGTGCCCATATGTTAATTTTAGGCCAAAATACAAAAGTCATGAAGGAGGAAGTTCAGCATCTCTGCTTCTATAGAAGTGAATAGAGGAATAGAACAGATTGATTAACAAGATTTCAGAAAAAAAGTTAATCAATTTTTCCATTTCATTTGGATCATTTGTGAATTAAAGAAAAAATATATTTTTACATATTTTTTCAAACTGTCACCTTGTTGCGTCATGATACAGATAATCTAATTAATATAAATCTCCACCTCCTGCAGAGCTATCAATGTCATCTAAAGAAATGTGGCGCTCTTGATCAAAAACAACCAATCAGAGCTGGGAGGAGGGTCGAAGCGCTGTCAATCACGTTTGTGTACCGCTGTTACATGTGTTAATTGAGAGAAACAACTTACAGTTTCTGGAAAAACCTTTTAACCGCCATCATTGGTGATTTTGCTAACTAGCTTTAGCACTCAGGACAGGCTATGTTGTGTATGCGTTGCGTGTACACAACCATTATTGACAGCACTAAAGACAGAGGAGCTTGATTCTTTTCAGATTATCTCGTATTATACTGTCATGACATAGCAGCAGTTGCAACAAACAAAACATATTAATTTTAAAATGTATGTAAAGCAGCTTATTTTTGTTTCAATTTCTTTCAGTTTCAAATCTTTTTTATTCCATATCATTTTTTTGTTTAGTATCAAATTTTGTCTTTTTAAGTCTCATCTCTTAAAGTTTTATTTTTTCCTCATAGTGGCATGACATAGTGGCAGTGGTCACAAATGAAAAACATTTTAATTTTTAAATGTGTGTACTGCAGCTTTAAGTCAAACTTTTACTAATTAAACTGGAAGAATGTGAAGGAAGTTGAGACCTTAAATGATAATAGATGAAGTATTTAAAAATGTGCATAAAAATGTTTTTGAGTGTAAATAAAAGCCAAATCAAAAATATTCAAGTGCTTATTTCTGTTTTATTTATTGTTTTTTGAGGGGGTAGAAGGGTATTTTGGATATACTATATGTCTACCAGTTCCAGTGTTTAATGTTCTTCATAAAATTAAAGTTTATTGATCTTTGAGGGAGAAAACTTGAATTATTGTCATTTATAGCAATAATTATTGGACAATTTATCATCTAGCAAAATTTGTTATTGTGAAAGGCTTACAGGATGCAATTACTTCTATACTTAAGAACAATTTAGAGTCATAAGTTAACCGATTCCTGTGGGAGGAAACCAGAGTACCCAGAGAGGACTGACACACACACTGGGAGAAAACGCAAACTCCCAGCATATAAACCTCCGAATGAGATTTAAACACACACACCCACCCTGAGGCGGTCGCTCTGCTAATCCCAGGTCTGTTATCTGCAGCTCACAGCCAGCGCCGCTGCTGTCAGAACAAGTAATGAACTTCAAAAGAATGAAGAACGATGACCACTCGCGCAAATGGGCCCTGCCAGATCCCAGATACTGCATTAGAGCCACATTTCACACACACATTATTTATTTCAGCCTGCTGGACTAAAACATGAACATATCCAGTTACTGTAATGTCTTGTATCACAGAAAAGGGGGGGGAAACTGAAAGCTGCTGCAGATGCAGCTGGAGAAGTCCTGAGGAAAATAAGTAGAATGACGGTGATGTGGCGAGGCTGTTATTTAGTAATGGAAACGCTTAACAAGAAAAATACGTAACGTCTGATTGTGTTATTTCAGAGTTAGAGCAGCTCTCAGCAGGAGTGGCTTCACCTGCTCAGTAGAAAACTGAAACATTGAATAATTCAATAAACCTCCAGCTAAGATTCAGGGTCTTCCAGGTCACTGGACTGAAATGAGAGAAAATTTCCTTTCTTGTTTCCAAAAAGGAAATAGTAAATAGTGTCCATAGAAAGTAGAGATCCAACGAACCGGTATTATCTGTATCGGTATCAACACTGAAAAAAATTCCAGGTGTCACTGACAATGTGCCCATCAGGAAGGTCGGATCTATTCAGTTTTAATTCTATATTTTTGGACAAAAACTTTTGAAAATGAAACTTAAAAGTGAAACTGAGAATAATTTTCAAATCTACTTTTCAGATTCAATGATTTATTTGTTAGAATTTCAGATTTACTTTTCAAATTCAAACTTTTCTTGATTTATTTTTTTGTTTTGATTTTTAGGTAATTTTTTTTTAGTTTCAAGTTTTTTTCAGATTTATTTATTTATTATCAAAAACATTTTTGAGTTTCAACTTTTTTCTGTTTTATTTTTCAGTATCAGATTTTTTTATTTGCTTTTTAAAAATTACTTCAATTATTTTTTCAGTTTCAAATTTTATTTAATATATTTTCAGGGGTTTTTTTGTTTCAATTTTTTCAGTTGAATAACTTTTTTATTCTGTATCAATTGTTTTGTTTCAACTATTTTTACAATTTTTTTATTCTGTTTTTGAAGTTTCAACTCTTACAGTTTATATTTTGTGGTATAATTTTTTTTTATGCTTTTCAGTTTTAAATATTTTATTTTCAGTTAGATTTTTTTTTCAGTTTAAATTTCTTTGACCAAACTTTGTTTGGCCCCAATTTAGCTCCATAAAATTTTACACAAATTATTCTTAAAGTGTTCAAAATAATATTTAAATATCTTTATTAAGAAGCTAGCTTCCTGTTAGCTGTTGAAACCCAACTATGTGATTTCATAATGGGATCTGCAAATAATCAGTATGAGAAAGCAGAGGGAGGATACTGGTCAGTCTGTGGCCTCTTGAAGCCCTCTGGTAGGTGGGCTTCATACAGCTGGCGGGCTCTGGTGTTCCCCATGTCCACCATACTCTGCAAAAACAGTGAAAAACAATAATAAACACTTAACAGAAAAAGGAACAACAGAAATGATTGTGATTGGTGAAAGAATCATCCCAGTGCACAGCAGGTTCTTTCACGCATCACATTTGCATTCAGCTCATTTTGCCCACCGACTCCTTTGCATGCGTGCACGCACACCGTGAAAGGACACACTGGTTGTATGCAACAAGGCCAAATTAAGAGGAGGGTGATGGATGGGGTGATGATAGGAGAAACGGAGGAGACAGAGTCGGAATAATCAGGCATCCAGAATTAATTAGTCACTGAATACAGTGATTAACATTCTAAGTGAGACGCTCCACCACTCACACACAGCTGACGGAGAGGCGAATCCAGCTACTTTAACACACACACACACCAAACAGCTGAATCTATTAACAACTGAATGATTTTAAAAAAGACAGGAAGGTTCGTATATGTCTGATAACACAGGATGGACTGTGAGGAAAGTAAAAAAAATGCTAAGCTAATCACAAGAAGCTTATATTATATCCATGTGTTTACATACGAGTTCCTATGATAACCAGGAAGATGGATGGATGGTAGATATGGGAAAACTATATATATATATATATATATATATATATATATATATAAAGATCTAGATATATAGATATATATCTATATATATATATCTATATATATCTATATATATATATATAGATATATATAGATATATATATATATAGATATATATCTATATATATATCTATATATATCTATATATATATATAGATATATAGATATATATATATATATAATATCTATATATATATCAACTGAATGATATATATATCTATATATATATATATCTATATATATATATATATAGATATATATAGATATATATCTATATATCTAGATCTTTATATATATATAAATATATATATAATTCCTCTGCTTTTAGATCTGAATCATCTTTGCTGCTTCAATAAAATCTTTTCTTTTGGGCTTAAAGGCAACGACTCGAGTCATTTTCAAACGACACAAATCCTTTTTTCTCCCAACTTCTTTCTTTTAATCCCCATCTTTCTTCTTTATTTTCAGAAATGAAAACTCCACACGTCTAACCCAGCAAATAAGTGAATAAAATAGAAAAGGTATGTCTACTTCAAGCCAAATATTGATTAGCCTTTGTGGCTCACATTGTGGTTCAGATACCTGGATCTGCTCAGGTGTCCACTGGTCCAAGTTGACTGATTTGACTCTGGAGATGTGGACGCCCAGGTTGCGGTGGATCCCGGCGCAGCGGATGCACATGAACACCCCGAGGTTCCATGACGCCCATCGAGGCCCTTTAACGGGAAGAGGAAGAAGAACACCTTCACTTTAAAAAGCTTCCATGATTAGAATTCAAATGCAACACATTCCAGAATTATAATTAGGCCTGTTGCAATCAATCAATTAAGATAACTAAAACAAACTCAATCATTTCCATTTGGATGATTTGTCGTTTTTCTCTTTCTACTGGATGACAAAAGTTTCATCGTTAACCAAGGTGTTTTGGCCTTAACTATACATTTTTAAAAGACAATTTTGTTTGCAGAGACTCCATAATTAATTTTATTTTCTGTCTATATTGTTTTGTTTATTTATTTGTGACATTTAAAATGTCTTCTAGAGATTTTATATTAAAATATAAATTGTTCTTTTGATTTAACTAGATTAGGGGTGTCCAAAGTGCGGCCCCAGGGGCCATTTGCAGCTAAACCCTTTTTCTCTGCCTACATCTCCCAGAATGCTGTGCGGTTTTGGATCTGAGCTCAGTGAATATCCTACATATTAAATATTATCTGTTGATATCGATCGTGTGTCTATCATGTAATATATAATTGATTTATTTTCCAGCCCATCTTAAGTTTAAGTGGTCTCCAGTGAAATCTGTCACAGGAATTCAACAACCAGCATGTAGAAAGAGACAGAAAATTACCCAGGCTCAAACCAAATCTCTATGGGGATGAATAGGAGACGGCACAGAAATGACAGTGAAATTATTTTAATAGGCTGGTGGCTGCAATCCCGCCACAGCACTCATGCTCCATCCCCATCCAGAACATGAAGCTTACTTGTGACTTTAAACACATAAAGTGCAACGGCTTAACTTTTATGGATCCAGGCTACATAATGGTGATGCAGGAAGCCTAGTGGACTTGCTGGGTTCGACTAAGAGCATCATCGTGCTAATGCAGTGGCACTAATGCGCTATCCAGCCTGAGGGGGCATTAAAGCAGCAGAATGAGTGTTAAGCCTAAAATCAAGCAGTTCAGCCATTGTAAGCTGGACTCTATTTGTTGGAAATCTATCAAGATCTGTCAGACTTCAGCTTGGTCTGCTTTCAAATCACCTCTGTTTTACTGATGATATTATCATATTTACAAACTTTACATGTCCATCTTAACGGAATCACTTTCACAAAGCGTCGTGCTCATTTTAAAAGGGTTACAGAGGTGAAAAATTGGTCTAATAAACTATCCCAATCAAAACACAATAAGAAAAGACAAGTACATTTTCACTAGAAGTGTCCTAGTGAAAATGTAATACAACTTTTTCACTTCCAATACAATAACTATATTGCACCTTTAAGTATTGGTCAATGACACAAATCACTAAAATTCAGAAATACCTTACAACATACTTTTATTACTTTCTGTGGTGTAAATGTTACATATAAAAAAAGAGTTAATCAAGAGGTATTTGTAAAAATCAAGTTTATTTGCATATTACTTGACATTACAAGTTAGTTAGAATTACCAAAATCATTTATATTTCCTCAATGCCACAATAATAAGGTAAAGGATATTTCAGATTTATTAATCTCAATATCAGAGGTTTAGAAACAGAATGATTCCCATCTCTTTATCTACAGCAAGCTTTAAAAAGTAAAGTAATATTTTAAATAAATTTGTGCTAGGAAAAAAGCTGATAGTCTATTAAAACGTAAAAATTTTTGTGATGGAGTCCAAAATGTTTGAGCCAAGTCATGAGAAAATACTTCTAAATCCTGAATGAACGTTTGTGCCATTCAGATTTTGAAGAAACTAATAAATAAATCTTTGACATCTTCTCCTTTAGAGATTAATTTACTTTGCTTCCTGTTTCTGTTGTTAAAGATACTAGCCTCCCGTTTGAACACAACAAAAGCTGAACAAACACATATTAAGATGGCTACTCCTAAACACAGCAAAGGCAAGTATTCAAACACATTCTTACACATAGCTGTAGTTCCGTTAACCAAGTTGAAACTACAAAAATAAATCCACTTAAGAAACACGACAATTTCGGTTAAAAAAATACAATATATATAGATATATATAGATATCTATATATATTGCGCTGGGATGATAGTTTCTCAGCCGAACAAAATATTTTTACGTCTCACAAGTCACGTGATCAACACACGAACGCTACTACCAAAAGCCACGAAGAAGACAACAGGAAGTAGTCTTCTTTGAGTCTTTTTTTTCCGGACATCGTCCTTTGAAGGATGCAGACCCTGAATTCGGACTCCATCGGAGCTCTCACTGAATTGTCAACCGCCGATAAAAATCAAAAAGAAAATGACGTCGCTTATTACGTAGCTTTTCAGTCCAACGGCTGAATAAGACGCAAACGTCTCCTCTGATGGCTAATATTTACATCCATCGCCGCTGTCTTTTTTTTAACAAACGTATTAATCTCGCGTGAACAAGCGAATTCACGCGTGATTTTGACATCACTTCTTATTTAGGCTAATGGAAACACCGCGATTGCGTTTTTTGTCTTCCTCGTGTCACGGCCACCGACGGCACACGCATACAAAGTGAAACACGGATGGCAAGGCGTCTATGGCAAGGCGTCCCAGCACATTGAGAAACACCCAGCAGCCTTGATGAGTGACAGCAGACAAGAAGAGATGCTGAGAGGGGGGCAGCTAGCAGAGCTTGAAATTAAAGCCCCAACTGTCAACTCGAGGACAGTCAGCAGAACAACTGGAGGGCTGCTGTGTTGGGAAGTGTGCGACAGTGGCACAGAGGAGGAGCTGAGACTATGAGCTGAGCTCACAGCTGAAATATTTCAAATAAACAGTCACATGATTTTCAGAGTGTCGCTCTGATGATTGGAAGAGAAATTTTCTGTCTGACAGGAAAAACAAACACCAAATGAGCCTAAATGTCGTTATGCTAACTGTGTGGTGTGAAGGTGGAGGGGTGGTAATTTGGGCTTGTTCACAAGAAAAACTACTGTGCAAAATTCACTATTTGGACATTTTTATACTTCCAAAAGCATTTATCTGGAAATGTGTTAAACCCAGAACCTCTCAAGTGGCATACTTTTAGCTTCACCTTATTCAAATTCTGTTATATAAAAAAGTAATTAAGCACCTTTTGCAATACAATTATTCATTTGTTCATTGAAAAACAATCTGCAGGTCAGCAGACGTAAAACCATACACTAGGGGCATGCAAAGTCACTGCATTTTAGGCAAAAAATATTTATTTTCTTACTGAAAAAATAAATTTTGTTGTTTATTTGCATTTTTATGTATTTTTTAGTGTTTTATAAAATTGGCTTAAGTGGTTAAATAAAAAATCAGCAAAACAAGTCATTTTCTTTTATCTACAATTCATTACTAAAATAATCATCAGCTGCAGCTCTAGTTTGGCTACAACAAAAAATATTTTTGGAGAGTAAAGGGGGAAAATAATTTGCTAATAATCAAACTTAAATCAATTCCTAGAAAATAAAAGACCATTTATTTTATTAATCCAATATAAAAAGGGGATTCATATTTCAAATAGATTCAAATTCCATAAATTAAACAACCAGAATTTGATTTGGATTTCTTTTTAATCGCAACAATTTAGTTATCCCTGCTGCTTGAGCGTCTTTTGAAACCACACATTTTCCTTCTACTCAATTTTCCATTAATGAAGATGAATACAGTACTAATTGAACAACCAGCTCCTTAAGCAACAAACCCTTCTGATTTTTCTAGTTGCACCTTGCTCTGCACCACAAAAACCTTAGCAGACAGCTATTAAAAAGCATTATTTCAAGTCTATTAGTCTACACTTTCACATAATTTCTCCAATACAACATCCTAAAAACGTCCTAATATTCAATGTACATCTAGCCAAGATAGTGCGGTTTATTTTATTATATGTTCTTTATTTAAGTTTTTAAAGGAAACCATTAATCTTGGGTTAAAAGGCTGAGTGCTTCTGCTGCTGCAAGCAGGAAAGTAAACCATCTCTGTGCTGAATTCTCCTTTACAGAAGGTTTACAACCTCCATTTGCTAATTAATAGAAATTTCCCTCACTGTAAATTACAGAACTATAGCGTGGAAACTAGAGTGCTGGAAAACAGAGAACAAGATTCCAATTTGGGAAAAACACAGCAGCTCTGTGCTGCCCCCTGCTGTTTTCCCGAGGGAATACAGAGCCAAGAAATATGAAGAGAAAAATCTGAATGTTAAGAAATGATGAGTACTCAGAAGCAATTATGAGCTGAACAGACAGATAAGGAAACAAAACACAAGAAATGTCTTAGGATATAATAGTTTGTAAATCAGACATTTTTAATATCTGCTGAAAACAAATTAAAAAGGCACCAAATGAGACAGTAGAGTTTTCTACCTGCTGGCGATAAACGGCATTGCAGGAAGGATTTCAATTACATCCAAAATTCTTCAAACCCTTAGCCAATTCAGATTATTTTAATTCAGCCGAGACGTTTGTTTGGATATGAGATAAGCATCTCTCAAAAGATATGACAATGTAAAAGTACTACCAATTTCTGTTCTAATGTCATTTTTAATAAAATGTAAATGTTAAAAGTTACAAACAAGTTTGTAGAAGAAAACCTCAAAAGGTTCGACCCAAGTCGTTCATCTTAAAAGACAGTTATAGCCAAATCTGCGTAGACTTTTTCATTTGAGAAAAGTTACAAGAAAAAAAATCTAAAAAAAATGTTCTAGCAAGATTTTGTTGTTTTGAAAATGAAATAGAACTTCAGACCTAAACTTACTTTCAGTTCCAAGTCAAATTTTTCGTTCAGCGATTTAGTGTGGCTGAAAAATGTTTCACAATATAAGCCTTTTGTGTGAGTCAATATCAATAATTATTGATTAGTTTTTGTTTTGAATATCTCAAACACCAAATATCCAAACCAGTGATATGATGCTGTTTTATCCAGATTTCACTCCATGCTGTTGTTTTTTATTTTGAAGCAGTTTTGAGTCACAATGGTGAAACGTTAAACTGCTGCTGTGCAAGCGACTCAAGGTCTTTGCTAGGTAACCAAAGAATGAGTTAATTGATGCCACTAACCTTGCCCTACGATTATTCTTTCTTGCTAACTTTGAAAACGTGTAGCTTCCCCTAAATTAATTTTCCCAGGTAAATTGTAATCTGCCAAATTACTTGACTGTTTTATGAACTTTTAGTTCAATATAGATTGACATCCATGTTGAAGGTTTGCTTGTCTGCTTTTAAGAATTTTTTAAGTGGCTAGATGTTTATATTTGTGCTCTTATTTTTGAGTGGCAGAAAACTACACTGCAGTTTCACTTCCTATATGTTTGTCATTCACAATAAGCAAATTATGTTTATTCTGAACTCAGAATGCATTTTTGCAGACAGTTTAACATTACTAATAATTAAAAATTAGCCACACAGTTTTATAGTTGTTGGGTACTGGTCTACCACTCTAGTTTAGCATATTTATTAGCATATTTATGCTAATTTAGCATAAATAATGTTCTTTTGTTTAAAAAAAAAACTACAAATTTTTTGGCCCTGAATAAATATGTTGAAATAAAGGTAGATTTTTTTCAATGTTAAGTTAATCTTCTTCAGTAAAATATGCATTTATGTTAAAGCTGTCCTTCTGACAGTGAACTGCTATCAAACCAGGTCATCAAAGCGGCGAGATGCCTGAAAGCACTAGATATGATCTGCTGAGGTTGCACAGAATGTGCCAACCAGGAAAATTCATAATTTCTATCCAAACTGATGCTGACATCAAGCCAAGAACTGATACAGCTTGTGCAGCACTTGATTCACATCGAGGCTGAACTCTAGTAGACAAACACAACGAACGAACGAAACTGATATGAGGGAGAATCTCATCTGTCATGGATCCACATGGAGGGAAAAATGTAGGGCAGTGTGTGAAGACAAGCAGGACAGAGGGTGAAATTACAGCTCAGATGAATCAGCACTCTGCAGAGTTTCATCATGTAGCCATGCAGCCGCACCCCTGACACACCGCCTGCAGCTGGCAGGAAATAACAACTACACGCAGTGTCGCTCCAAAGACTAAAAGAGCTGATCAACGGCAGCAGAGCTCAGCAATCTGAGTGGTGGTCAGCAGCTGCATCAGTTCCTTGCCATGGAAATCTAATCCTAATTACAAAAAGTGACCATTTGCATTGCACCATATGCCTAGATTTATACCAATCTCGACCACACAATATTATTCCAAGGGCCACAAAAAGGCTCCCGGGCTGCACTTTGAAGAACCCTGTAGAGATATTCCACTAATTAAAACAACACCCCTGTTTGTTCCAAGCATGTGTACCAGAATATTCAGGTTTTGATTTGTGATAAATCTATTAAAAAAATTAAAAACTGATCAAAAACCCACCCAGCTCAAAAACCATTCCTCAATTCCAGAGAATAAGCAGAAAAAGAACCGATAGATGAATCACGGACTCACTGATTGCGGAAGAGGCGCGGCGATGACGCAAAAGAGACGTCATCTCACCCAGCGGTAACCCCCATATGTCCCTTTTAAAACCCAATTCATTAATTAAAAAGTGCATCCTTTCACATTGATGTGCAATAATAGCAATACTTGATTATACAGCAAGATTTTGTTGGGAATTGTAGCTCAACCATTGATTTAAATGCATACAAATTTCTGCACAGTCTACATAATAATCATTTTAATTACATCTGAAATATGCCGAATTAAGGAAGCACATCTCCGCTTTTATCACACGTATTTGCTCATATGGTATTTTATAATTTTGTGCAAGAGGATGATAAAGTTTCGTTTTTTCTAATGGAGTCTGGTGAAGATGCTGCAGCAACAGAATACCAATGTGTGGTTTTTTTTCTTTTCTTTTTTTTTTTTTTTTTTTAACAGGACGCAATCAGAGCAAGAACGCCTCAGATTCCACGCTGCTACACGGGACACGCACGTTTTCCACTCATTAATAACCCAGTCAAGGACACGACATCGATACTACAGCTTCAAGTTACCCACAGTGAACCCACTTCCAACCGGAATAAAGAGGCCTTCAGGTACATAATAAAAGAAACGCATTTAAACTTCATATAAACAGAAAATAGAAGGCAATTATTTTTAAGGAAAAAAATAAACGATAGATGCACAATTTTAATTAAAAAAAAAACAACACATTTTTAATTATAGAAATATAATAATACCTTTTCAAATATTTTATTTTGAAAATATTCGGCGGAAGTTTTGTCATCCTGTTTATTTTAATACCATCCTACCTTAAAAATAAATAATAAAAAAATACATTTTCGTTTTGTAAATTTAATCCCTGAGTGATTAAAATGTATCAATGAAAATTACAAGCACGCGAGTGTAAAATGCAGCAGAGACGTGCATTGCTATGATGGTGGACAATGTCCAAGCGTGTCCCCGGTCTCTGTGGACCGTGTCCTGCCTACCTTTAGCCTCACAGTCTGCACAGTACTTGTTGTCCTCTTCTCGCAGCAGTTTGGTAAGAATGGCCTGATGCTGCTCGTTCAGTTTCTGGGCTTTTTCTCTCTCCGACCGGGTCGTCATCTCGCTTTCCGCGGTGGGGCGATGAGTCCAGCTGGGTGGGGAGCCGTGGGAGTCCTCGGTGCCGGTTAACGAGGGAGGGACGTCCTCATGATGAAGCCGCGCCGCCCTGAACTCTCCGGTTAGCTACCAACCTGCTAGCAGCGGCAGGTTGGATGGATGTTGAGGTATCATCCCTGCTGCGTTCACGACTGTGGGAATTTACAGTGTGACGCCTGATTCACAGAGGCAAATTTAGAGTGGGGAGAAACGTTGGACGACGGGAAAAACAGAGAAAAAGAAGAGGAGATTTCCGCCAAAAACACAAAAAACAACTCGAAGACTTTGAGATGAATCTCAGAAATTTAATTGACAAAACATGGAAATTTCTGAGGTCGAAAAGTAAAAAAAAACAATTTTTGTATTTTTTTTTCTTGAAATTTTCTGAGGCACAAGAACATTTCTGAATTTGAAAAGTAAAGAAATTGCTATAAAAAGTTTGAAAAGTTAAAAATTTGCTAACAAAATCTAATTTTGAGATTATTCTCACAAATGTAGAAAAAACATGGACATATCAGAGGTTGAAAAGTCAAAAATTTGATTGAAAAAATTTGTTGTCCTAATAAAATAAAATTTTGAGATGAATCAAAAATGTTTTTAGAAAAAAAAATGTTTTTGAAAACTCAAACATTTCCTCAAAATTTTGGGAATAATCTCAGAAATTTTTTGGGGGGGGAAGACCATGAAAATTTCTGTTTTTCGAAAGTCCAAACTTTTGTTTTAATTTAACCTTAGAATTTAATTCTAGAATTTTTAACTAAAAACTTTATAAGATTTATTTCAAAATGTTCTTGTTTTTCAGAATTTTCAGGGGGGAAAAAAGTCATAACTCTGAGACATGTGAGCAACAGCCCAGTCCTTTTGTAGTAGTTTTTCTTTCCACTCAATTTTTCATTAATATCTTGCTTTTTTATTAAAGGCCATTTGTGTTTTAACACCCATAAACCGGGTGGCTATTAATGTCTGATTTACAACATACCAGGCTTATTATGCATGACATTTCTGTTAAAAATTATTTTTGTTGTTATGTAATATGAAAGTTTCCTGAAAAACATGACTTTGGGTTTTCATCAGTTTTAAGCCATCATCAATTGCTCGTGTAAGTTTCAGTTTTTGAATAGAATTAATCCACCTTTCAAGGATATTTTTAAATTATGCCAAAATAAAGGATTAATAAATGCAACACTCATGTCAAAAACAAAAAAGAAAACATCTTTAATGAAGACAAGCAATGTTAGACACAGACATGTCACAGGTAACAGTCATTTTAAGCACTAAAAATAGGAGCAAAAATTACTTACATTCTGTTTGAGAGGAAATTTCTCTCCAGGATTGAGGCTATAAAGTGTGTTCTTGCGGTAGAAACATTGAAAACTGAGGGGTACAGTGTATAGTGTCAAAAAAAAACCCAAAAATGATTCAAAAAAGTTGAACAAATCACAATAAATTATCAAATATATATAGAGAGATATAAATTCCAGGTATCACGTTGTCGTACAACTCAGTGTGAGGTTAAGTAATCTGATATGTATAATGATTGAAATATTTTTACTCATTTTTTAAATTAAAGCAGACATTTCTGACATCTTTACTCAATTTCCACATTCCTAAGACCGTGGAAATTAAAAAAAATAAAATAAAATAAGCCCTCACACTGCAGTGGTTTTCACAGAATACATAATATCATATGAGCAATCACTGGATCTGAATCACCTTCTGCTTTATGCCTCTTAATGTTAAATAACATGAATAAATAGGAAATGTTGCTTTGCACCACAGTATTTTTATAGCATTTTCACATTACAGCCACTAGAGGGAGGCAGGGGCTTATTGGTCAAGTTGCAGCTTTCAAAGAGAGATTGTAGATTTGGCACAAAGAAAACAGCACCAGATTATTCCCTCCAAAATAATCCAAAAATGAAAAGAGCACATCATGCAGAAACGTGGGTCTCACAAACAGCTAAGCTTTTAAAAAAGGCGCAGCAATGTCAACAACAGGGACTGATTTTCATTTAAGGAAGGATCAACCAGGTAGAGAAAGAAAAATATGGAAGAAACAGACAAGCTAACTTTTCAACCATTCGACAGAATCAGGGCGAGGATAAGAAAAATAAAGTTATGAGAACAAACTTATAAAATTACGAGAATAAAATCGCTGGAGAATTAAGTAAAATAATACAATAAAGTTGCATTATGAGAATAAAGCCATAGTAGTACAAGAATAGACACCAATTATATGAGAATAAAGTTTTAATTTTAAGAATAAAATACAAGATTAAACTCTAAATAATACAAGTAGTCATTTTATGAAAAATAGTTATTAAGTTGTACAAGAATAAAGTCAAAATAATACAAGAAAGTTTAGTTTTACGAGAAACTAGAATTAATTTGAGACTAAAGTTGCAATAATATGAGAGAAAAGTTATAATATTATGTGTATAGACATATTACGAGAATAAAGTACAGCACTTTATTGTGAGAATAAAGTCGTACTCTAATAAAGTTACAATAATGCGCAAATAAAGTTGTAATATAATTATTCTCATAGTATTTCGACTTTATTCTTCTAATATTATGACTACTCTAATAACTTTACTTTTCTTAGCGTGCCCCTTATACTCCGTCGTACAACCAATATTAACTAAAGCTGATAAACGTGACATTATAGGATTATGTAACACAAACACACCAAGCCATATTTTTGCCACCATGTCTGGTTTAAAACCAGACAAATATTATCTATAGCATCCTATAACGTCCAGCACAAAAAGATAAAATAATAGACAAAAAAATAACAATAATTATGTAAATTAAAGTGTATTCGTCATGCGTTTTGGTCCAGTGTTAGAGTGTAAACAGTGGGAGAACCTTTTATTTTAGTGTAACATATTTTCAAACCAGCCATCATTTATTTTTTTATCTGGGCGAAATGTTTGATTTTCAGACTGGAGTGCTTTCGTGTCGCCAAACAAAACAAAGTGCACCGATAATTTGCTTGACATGAGATCCAGTCAGTATTTGTTGAAAAGCATAAACAGCGCTAAAAATTTCACAGAGGTTTTTGATGATTAGTAGAAATTCTGCATTTTTATTTTTACTTAATTATGTAGTCGAGAGTTATGAAGATCAACATTGCTCACTTTAAGCAAGAATCTGAATTTCACATTTATTTTGATCCCCATAATTTTCTCGTTTTTTACCAAAAGTGCCACAAATTCACCAAATAACTTTTACACTTATGAGAACTTAAATTAAACTATAATATATTAAATAAGAAATATATAATTACTTCAATGTTTCAATTTATTAGAACAAATAAATGTAGAAAATTAAAATATTAAATTATACTGTAAAAACTATTATTTCAGTATTTTTTGAAGTACATGATTGAAACATTTGAAATTAACATTTATTTCTTGATGTATGCATTTCCAGACTTATTTAAATTATATAAATAAGCATTTTTCACAGCTTATTTGTGTACTCCAGTGTGGAATTTTTACTAAAAATGTCTAGAAGAAAGTATAAATGCTGTAATATTTATAGATTCATTAGACAAATTAATCTAAGGAACATGTTCAGCATTTAATTGTTTTTATTTAATGAAACATTTAAATCATTAGATCATTCAATGTATATCTTTAGAAGAAATTTTGTATTTAAGTTGTGTGCAGAGTTTTGGCACTTCTGGCCCTTGATACCATTATAGCTGCCATATTGAATTTAATAATGGCTGCCAAAACTAACCAAACTAAATAAGCTTGGTTAGTTTGGTTAGTTTTTACTTATAACAGCTTTTGAATAATTATGTAGTGTACATTAGTGTTTCCACACAGTCAGCAAACATGTTATTATTGTCAAAATTTACATCTAATCCTTTCCATTCTGTATTTTTAATGTTTTAATTTTTACAGTGCTCTGGCTAGTTTTCTGTGTAACCAGAAAGTAGAATTACATAACAAATGGCACCCAGATTTAAATACAACATGGTGGTCATAACAGGGGCCATTTTGGTAGTTTTAGTGTCTTCAAAAGTGTCAGGTTTTTACCAGAAAGTGAACAATTACAGTAAAACCCATTTGATTTAGCTGCTACAGTATGACCCTTAGATGTCAGTTAATGTCTGAATATATAAAAATCACATTTTTAGTTACGCTTACAACTTATTTTAACTTAAAGTCTGCTAACTAAGGCAAATTTAGCTAAAAGATGAATGCTATCCTATACTAATCGTTAACTGAATGTTAGCACTCTTTTAGCAAGTTAGTTAGCTGACAAACTTTACAAATTTGTCGCAAACATACTTTCCAAAAGCTTTTAGCAATGCAGATAAAATACGTTATAACAAATAAATTTAAAGATCAAGTCTGAAAAGAAAATTAAGCTGATAACTTATTAAAAAGCAGCTAACATTAGCTTGCTGCGGTACCAGGCTAGCTGAGCTGGCTAGCTTGGTTAGCTAGCTGAGCTTTTACGTAGTTGAGGTGTCGGCGTTTTTAAACCTACTACATAATTGGGAAATCAGCTTGAAAATAGGGAGCAAGCATCAGATCACTTTTTTTCCATGGTTTCAGATATCTGGAAAATATGGAAGACCTTCACTGCCAAAGCCAGGAAATAAATTCAGGTGCAGTATCTTGCCAAGTCAAAAAACTCTTGTAACAAGAAAAAAAAAACTCTAAAATGAGAAACTTTCCTATTTAAACAAAATGTTTATGCATTTCTTTTAGAACCAGTTAGTGTTGGAGCCTCTTTTTGCCCTTTTAGCAAGTCGTAATTTGTCAAAAAAAAAAAAAAAACATTTTTATGTAATTAAAACTTGTTAGGTGAATGGTTAACCAGACTGCTCTTGAATTTATTATCTACCTCTGGCAGTTAAAGCTTCTGTAATAAAACCAAGGATTTTTTAACAATCCAATCTTCTATTTGGTAAACATTGAGCATTCACGGGGATTTAAGTGATCTTTCCCACATGAGGACTTTAATGTTCTACCATATTTAGTCAATGTTTGACTCATACTGTAGTATGAAGCATAACCAAAATATATGCCCAATATTTCACATTTCCAGAGATAGTTTGCCAACACAAACCCAAATATAACATTGTGGGGGGAAAAATTTGACTTTTCATAATTTGGAGCCAAATTCAGTTGCAAATTCAACTCCATGTAATTACAAAACAAACAAAAAATCTGTTATCACCGTTTCCATCACACATGATCAAGCAAGGGAATGTATCATTTACTCAAAACAATGTCGATAATGACAATCAATTTTTTTGTGACGACCATATATTGTATACCTGCTTTCCAAATGTTCCTGGTTGTTTCATCAAACCAAAACATCTTCTGCCAGTTACAGACATGGTGTTCAAATATTTAACACTGTGGATTTTTTTTAATACTCTTCTCCTGACTGGCACCTTTGTGCAATAAAATCGTTTTGATGCTTTGTAACCTCTTGCAAACTGTGGCTTTAGCTACAGGATGAAAATATGCTAATGTCATAAAAACTAGGAGGACTTTATTTTAGTTTCACTATAAATAACTTATTCAAAAGTTCCAGAGTGTGCACATTTATGCAACCAGATTGCTGCAGGTTTTTTTTGTTGTTGTTGTTTTTTGTATAATTTCCTCACATAATATTTTGGTTTCTATATAAATTAAACAGGATATTTTGCACTTCATGTGGAAATAGCTTTTAAATGATATATGAAGGAGTTTAAAATGAACAAACTAAGCATTTTAATACGGTTTTGTGGACTTTTGAGAGCTACTCTAAGTGAAGCAAAGAAATCTTGAACATTTGTCGGAATGTTTCTGGCCTATTTTAGAGTTAATACGAGCAAAAAATTAAAACAAAAATGAAACCACTAAGTATTTAATTAGAAAAATATTTCTGGATTGCATTATGTCATCAAGAGTCTGTCTGCAGACAGACTTTTGATGACTTTTTTGTTTTACCTTCAAAGTTGCAAACTTTCCTTCTTGTTTTTTTTGTTGTTTTGTTTTTTTGTTTGTTTTTTAAAGGACATCGGGTCGCACTAATGCCCTATCAGCAGCAAATCACACATCCCAGGTCAGACGGTCGGAGAGAAGGCTGTCTGGGTTCACAGGACAGACTCGATGGCTTCGGGCATTCCCTCCAGGATTTTAGTTTGGTGCATGACGAGCGGCGACGTCTCCTCCTCCGCCTGAACGTTTGCCACAGATACAACCTTGACTTCCTCCAGCTCCTTCGCTACTTCCTGTTGGTGCTTTTTCATTTCCTGCTGGTTGATGTGGTGGAGGATTCCTGCACCCAGAGCGTCACCCTCCACATTCACCACGGTGGTGGTACGATCCCTGAGCACAAAGAGGAATATTATTTTAAAAGCATTCTCAGTAGAGCTGCAAATAGGCCTGTCGCAGTAAATTTTGCTGGAGGATAAATTGACCCAGACGTTATTGTTGTTTTGTCATTATAAATGTAATAACACATTCTCAAACTTTACATTAAAATGAACATTAAACACTGAAACTGGAAGATATTTTAAATATCCAAAACAAATAAACAGAAATAACAAATAAAATTAATTATTTAATATTTGAATCATTGAGTTTGTTTTAATTTGTCATGTGATTGATTTATTACTTATTGTAGGTCTAGCTGCAAATTGATATAAAAAATTGTCACATTCTGTATATTTTTATTTGCAAATGAATAATTGAGTGTAATTTTATTGCCAAAAGTTTTTTTTTCTTGTTTTTTTTGTATTCACTAATTAATAATTGGACAGTAAAAGGTATTTAGTAGGAGATTTATTTATATTAATAACAGACAAATGTTTTTTCTTCCCCCATTTTAAATGCAAATGTATTTTTAGTAGAGTTTTGATTTAATTACTGGCATTTAATAATAATTAATCATTTACTAAGTATGTCAATTTCAATAATCAATTAATTGTGATTAATTCACATAATCGTTTCAGCCCTACTTCTCTATGTTCTTGCCTTTGGATGTCATACTCCTCCAGGAAATGAATTTTTTCTACATTAATGCCATTTTACTCCAGTTGTACTCGGAACTGGGAATTTCTGACTTCCCAGTCAGAAAAATCAACTAGATTTTCCTCCAAAGTCAGAGTTCCCATTGGGAAACTGGGAGCAGCTTCAACTACCACAATTTATTCCTTGTAAGGCCCACTTCCAATATGGCCGCTCTGCGTCAATAAAACCAATATGTGGTGGAAAGATGTTTATATTAAAAGACACACAAATAAGAATGCATCAAAAATTAATGTTACATGAAGCGCCTGAAACGACAAAACAGTACAAATTAAAAATTATGCTTTCTTATTGAAAGCAAAGCTTTAGATGATGTTTGCAAACAATGTCTATGGGTGCCGCCATGTTGAAATTCCAACTTCCAACTAGAAAGCAGCAAAAGAGTTGGTTTTCCTCTGGGAAAACTCTAGAAACAGCATTTATTACCTTACAATGTTCGGTGTTTTCCAGGGTGAGAGTAAATTTACTCACACAATCCAGTCGACGGCCAGCATGAGGGACAGATCGTTGGTCGGCAGGCCGATGGCCTCCAGGATGATGGCGATGGTGATGATGCCACCAGCCGGGATGCCTGCGGCGCCAACGCTGGAGGCTGTGGCCGTTACCCTACAAATAATCGCAACATGCAACATAGCCGTTTCAAAACAGATTAAAAACACCTGCAACCTCAAAATCAACACAATTTGTTCTCATATGTTTATACTAAAAAAAATAAATTTATGAACCATGTGCAGGCATTTGCATTCCAACAGCATTCACTACAAAAACAAAAAACATTATTATTATTATTTATGGTCTGGTTTCTATTGCAAATACGGTCGTACATTTGAAATAAGAAAACTTGCAGGTAACTTTTAAGGAAGAAATGTGAGCTTGATTTAAGTCAGTAATTCCTTAAAATTGATGTAAATGCAAAACTTTTAGTATTAGCAATTTTTCATCAATATCAAGAAATATTAAGCTCCTGTTTCTTGCCTTATTTTAAATATTTTTACTAGAAACTAGATGAAAAATACTTAATATTTTGTGTTTCTATAGTCGTCACAAGTCAACTAACTAGTAAAAAGAGTTCACTCCTATGTGATTTAATCTCAGAAAACATTAGTGAACAAACAGCATCATGAATAGAAAGTTATAGAGGTTTAATGGGTTCAACCATTTCTTCACCAACTTACAAGATGGTGAAGATCTGTCCAGCGTTCAGTTCAGTATTGTTGAGCTGTGCGATGAAGACGGCAGCAATGCACTGGAAAATGGCCGCTCCATCCATGTTCACTGTCGCTCCAATGGGCAGGATGAAGCGGCTAATCCGCTTGTCCACACCGTTGTTTTCTTCCACACATTTTATCATTGAGGGAAGAGTTGCTGAACTGGTGAGTGGGAAAGAAAAACTTAGATATTTCCTATATAGTTGATGTTGAGGAAGTCGGTTGTGGGTACCTGGAGCAGGTGGCGAAGGCGGTGGTGAAGGGTGTGATAAGCCCCGAAAGGAAGCTGAAGGGGTTCTTTCGAGTGAAGGCAAAGTAGATGAGGGGAAGAACGATGCCTCCATGGATGATGTGACCCAGGATTGAAGCGAAAATGTATTTCCCCAAGCTTGTGACCAGAAGAACCACATCTTCCATTTCTACTATCTTACTCCCCACAAGAAACATGATGCCAAAGGGAATATACCTAAGAAAATTAGAAGAAGTCACCATGAAGTAAGATCATGGTCACTTTTGACCAAGCTTTAAAGGATTAGAATAGGTCTATGGGCAGTACAAACATATTCATAAAATAATTTTTGCACAAAATCATTCTTAGATAGTGAGATTTTAGTCTCACTATTTTAGTCTCCCTGTGAGCTGTTTTAGTTACTCTGTCACTTTAAATGCAAACAAGCTGCTGCTCGCTCAGCTGGGGTTACCAGGTGACTGGCTGGGCTTTCATTGGGGTTACAGGATGAAGGGTGGTGCCTAATAATGTGTGACTTTTACTTTCAGGAGGGTTTTTAAGCAGCTCACTTTCTAGACACCAAAAATATGAACTTTTTGAATTTTTCAAGTGCTTGGGCTGTTTTTAGGAGCACCAAAGATGCAAATGGAAAAAGGTGAGTTTTCCACAATACTTCTCCTTTAACCATCCAGACTTACCACATGATCCAGGACACCAGCACCATGGTGGCTTCATTGAAGGCGTTGAAGAAGCGAATGAGTTCCTCTCCTTCCTCTCCAAGAATCCGAAGGGCAACGCCAAACATCATAGCAAACAGCACCAGACCAAGGATGTTCATACCATCGGCTTCGGTTCCAATCGGCACCTAAAACGTCCAGAAACTGTAAGAATCTGTACAAACTTAGCAGATGTTGATAAAATATGTAAAAGACTTCGATTAAGACAGACACAAAAATACGTCAGCATGTTTTGACAAGTTTATTTGGAGGATTTCTAGTCTATTTTCCCAAAGCCACCCAGATCATTGAATTTTTTTTATTTAAATTTTGTTTTATTTTCTGACTGGATCATTGAGCCATATCGTCGACTAAGTCCAAGAAAGTCTGTGAACAGGCAACAAACGTAATGTTTATAAAATATTTAAATTATCCCAGATTTTACAAACAATAATGTTGTTTTGAGACCATTTTTAAATACTATAATGGCAATCACCTTCTTAAAGATAATAAAGTTTACACTTTAATGAACATTTAACACTGGAACTGGAATACATTATAAATATCCAAAATAACAACAAATAAAATTCATTATAAAGTCTCTAAACAAAATTGTCCTTCAAAAAAAGGCCAGTTGAGACCAAAATACCAAACTGAAGACTTTTGTCACCCAGTTTTTGTTAGAAATAGACGAAATAGAAAACAAAAAATAATGAAAGTGGAAATTATCAAGCTCTTTGCAATATATCATGCAATCAATTGATTTATTGCTTATTGTGACCGATCATTGTTCTACTAAAATAGTCGTTAGCTACACACAACACGGCAGCAACACGTATGGACCAGGACTGTTTTTTTAAACATGTTTCCACAAAAGCACTTGCTCAGTTAGTCTAAGCCTTTTACGGTAAAGTAAACTTGTCGAACAGGAGAGTTTATCCAGCCGGCTGCAGTTTGTACAACCCAGACCGCGCGCAGTTGCAGAGGTCTGGGTCATCAGGGAGGATTCAGTGAACTGGGTGATGGGAATCAATGAGGACAGAGACAAACCCGGAGTTAAATCCCTTCACAGTGTGCTGAGCTCTCCCACAGCCTGACCAGCTCTGTCCGGTCCCACACTCATCCACAAACCCCAAGACCAGTTTCTCCAATGGTAAGCCAGGATGGAGGGATTTCGAAGAACACTTTGAACTCAAATTCTTCTAAGTAATTGTAGATAGTGATGGCTGTTGGCAGGGAAGTGAATTTGAGGTAGTGACACGTACCAGTAATTACACGTTACAATTTTGAGATTAATCGCACGTGTTAAAGTTGACAGCCCTGTTAGAAATACATTTATAAAAATCCAAATGAATGACTCAATTCCATTTTTTAAAAATAAATAAAATAGCTTAAAATGCAAGAACATAGCATTCCTTTAGTGTACACTAAAGAAAATAAATACTTTATTTATGCTTTACATAAATACAGTGATCTGTTTTTGGATTAACCAATTAATAACCAATTAATTAATGCTTGATATGTTTTTGTTTTGTTTTTTTACAGAATTTGAACCAGATGAACCTGAAACTAGGCCACTAGAACAGATTTAGATTTACATTACATTTGGGATCGCTATGATATTTGGTTGTAGAAACATTTCATCACCAGCCTTGAACCGACTGTCCCTTGTTCAGCGAGTCTGCACCACTGGCAGACCCACGTACACACCAAGTGGTCAAAGCAAACGGAGATAAGCGTCCGAAATGTGTTTCAGAAACACAACATTTGGCCTTTTACGTTCAGGAAACATGATTTCAGTGTTTACCTTTTGATACAAGGTTGTTCCATTGGTGTCGTTCCCCACAGCGACCATTTTGTAGTCTGTGGCATACTAGAACATAAAAAAAAACATTGTGTTACTTAAAAATTAAGTCCATTTAGACTCATTTGTTTTGTTTTATGCACTGCAGATAAAATCATTGTAGTATGTAAAAAAAGAGAAGTTACTTTGTGCAGACAGATCAGTTTCAACCCATAAAATGAGACTGAATTACAAAACATACATGATTCTGGTGCAAGAAATACCATTGAGGATGTTTGATGATTTAGGACAGAGTAAAGTGAAATGAAAAAAAAGAAATAAAAAGAAGAGAGAGAGAGAGATGTGTCTGTGTGTGTTTGAGTCTGTACAGATAATTTGTATCCTGTGTGAATTAGAAAAAAAATTACTAAATTTAAACTTGTGCAACCTATTCTTGTTTTTAAAACTTCTTTATATTTTATTGTTAAAATAAACTACAAAGAGCTCAAAATATTTTGATCACTGACAGGAACTGTGTCTTTATTCTGGTTTATAGGACAGAAGCAAAACGTAGAATCTCACATGACCTTTGTGTAGCTTTTAGCAGGTTTGTGAAAATCTCCGTCTTCACAAAGACATGTCGTTTAACCCACATTTGGCCCCCTTCCACTCTGTTTGTGTTTGTTAGTGGGATTTACTGAACTCTGTGCTTACTGACCAGTGAGTTTATAATTCACAGACACATTTGAATGGCCAATTTCAAATGCTGTGACTGCTGTAATTGGATGCACTTTGCCTTAAAAGGCGTTTGTGTTGCCATTTTGCATCTCGCGTCCTTAAATATTGAGTTTTCCTTATTTTTGTTTAGCTTGAGCAAACAGCAAACATAATTCTGGGCAATGAAGCAAACACAGTCCCAGACATGGTAACTGTTGTTAGGGAGAGCAAGTGAAGTTCAAGAAAAAAAAAAAAGAAGTTTGCACAAGCAGGAACGACCAGCTGGGCCTTTGAGTGGTTTTGCAAATGAACCTGCAGTGGCAGCCACGTGGTTGGGAAAATAAATTAGGACAAACAATCCAACACAAGCAATAAAAAAAAAATAAAAAAACAGAGAGGAGGCACTCACAGAACGGAAAGCAGCCGCCACCAGGTTTGATGGAAACAAATTCCTGAGCAAAGAAAGAGGAGAAAAACAAATTAGAAGCAGATAAAAGTCAGAGCCGTGGTGATGCAGTTTGTCCTGAGTCGACAGGTTTAATCAACCGCAAGCTGAAGCGACGAGAAAAGGAAAAAGGCATCAGTATTCCAACCGGAGAATCAATAATCAGGACCAAACATTAGCTTTCCCATCAAATTCCCTAAAAACAGCCAATTTTGGGGCGTCATTTCATATTTATTATTATGTGATCATCCTGATCACACTGGGAGGAAACCAGGTGCCCGGTTATACATTTAAAAGCAAACTGTTCATTTAATTTGTTTTGTTGTTCGTGTTGCACTAGTAGTCTTTATTCATCAACAGCTCAACAAGAACAAGGATAAAGAAAGACAGAAAAGACATGCAGCTCAGCCTGTTCATAATCATTTTCAAGGGATTTAATTGTAACAGTGCAAGAAAACTTTCTCAAAGATCAGTACATTTTAAATTTCGTTCAACATTTAACAGTGGAAAACATTTTAAATATCCAAAATTAACAACAACACAACAAATAAATTAATTAGGAAGTCTGTAAACAAAATCATCCTTCAAAAAAAGGAATAGTTGAGACATAATAACTAAAACTCTAAAATGTTGATGTGTATTGATCACACTTTGCTAAATGTAATGTTAGATTAATAATCTCATTAAAAAAATAAAAATTTAACCCATTAGCAGCTAATATAGTAAAGAAAAAACATATAAAATGCAATGTTTCTCTAGATATTCAGGGGAGCAACATTTCTAAAGTTTTCTCCTGCTGGGTTTGTCATAATATAAGCATACTGGGAGTACTGGGAAGGATTTTATTCCTTCATTTGTTTTTGAAACTTTATCTGATCAGATTGTGTTATATTGTGCAAGAAAGCAGACACTGTTCGTGTTTGTTCCCACTGCCGCTCCACAGTCGGGCAACTGGGAACACCTAATAATCCCAGTAAACTTTGCCCTCAGTTACTGGGCTGAATGTTGATTCAGTTCATTACATCCTCAGCTGCAAGCCGTCCTCTTATACCTGCCACCGCGGAGAGGAAATGTGAAATTCCTGCAGGAATAATGTCAGGTTTCCCTCCCATCACATGACGGAGGTAGATTTCCAGAGCTGAGAAGCGCCATGATTTTCCCACAGTGCAGCGAGATGCGGACAGATTTTCCTTTTTTTCTCAAGGTCGTCACATGTCGGCTAAAGCTGAACATCATAAAAGCTGAAATTTATTGGACCTAAATTCATTCACTGCAAAATCTAGGAAAAATAAAAAATAAATAAATCAGTCAAGGAGTTTGATTCCAATCATAAATAACACCTTATTTGCTAATAATCCAGTAGAAATATGATAAAGCAAAAATGTAACCACAGCTTTTTCAGGACGTTAATTCTGGATTTATAAAATGTGACTAAAAATAAATCCTAAATAACTTTCCAAAGAGGAAAAAATATTCAAGTTTACTTTATACAATTCTTTTAAAACTGCAAATTAAACTTAAAAGATGGAGTAACTTTTAAATATATACATATTTTTTCATTCATCTATTAAAATTGCCAGCATGTTGTGACACTATAGCATGGAAAAAAAAAAAGAAAAAAGAAAGAAAGAAAAGAAATCGAGCTCCTCTGTCGTCTCCCTGCTGTTCCGAAGCCAGGAGGCGGGTCTTAGTGCTGTCAATCAATCCAGTGTGCTGCTCTCTGCTATGCTTCAGCCTATTGTGAATGCTAAGGCTAGTTAGCATAGCCACTGATGAGTTTGTCCTGTAACGGTAAGTTGCTTCTCAACCATGAGCACATTTAGCAGCACAAACGCAAGCTTGATTGATAGTGCTAAGACTCTCCTTCTGGCTCTGATTGGTTGTTTTAATTAACTATAATAATCTCACCTCCAAAAAGAAGTATTTCTAAAAATATTTTCACATTTCTAGCCTACAAGAAAGTCCTTAACCCAGTGGTGTCCAAACTAAAATGTTATTTGTTTTACCCCAATTTCCAATCTACAGAGCAGCCCTCCCCCACTCAGCTCCTTCAGACTAGCCAGCAGCAATTAGCGACACTGCACATCAGCTGTGCTCAATATATGAGCAGCTTGTCAATGTTAGAAAAAATGTTACTAAAAAAGTATTACTGTAAATGTTTTCTCTTTTACCTGCGTAACATTAAATGAAACATGTAATATTTGATGTTTGCAGCTATTGAACTTTTTAAGGCTTATTTTCCATTTATTAAGTCTACAAAATGTTTTTAGTTTATTCTCAGCAACAAAGTATAAATTTTATTTTACGACTTTTGCTGTAATGGACGGTTTTGTTTTTGAATAAAAACATGCTGGATGTTTGTGGCACAACTAATAATAGTAAAAGGCTAAACAAAGAAAAATTAAGATATAAACTTGCCATGAAAAATATCCTTAAAAAAAATACTTTTTGGGCGATCAAATTTGTGCTCTTCTTTAGTCTTTAATTGCAGTCAAGGGCCACAAACGGCCGCCGGGCCTCACTTTGGACACTACTGCCTTAAGCAGGCTTGTTTTCAGAGTGAAACCGGAGGCTTAGAGGAGGTCAGGGGTCACCAGAGTGGTTCAGATTCATACTCAGGGAAGAACAAATGGTGTAAAGAGAGCAAATGGTGAAAAAACTCCTGAAAGATACAAAATTACAGCCGAGATTTTGTTTATGGCTACTTTGTGAACTAACACTTGATGAAAACCGAACTGAGTAGAATAAATGTGATATAACAATAACAACCAGAAAGATTTGACGTAGAAAGATTCAAAACTAAAAACGTTTGCATCAATCTCAGAAAACAAAAAGCTTCTATGAAATCGAGTCCAGTTCTCAGAGTGAGTTTTAGAGGCGGTTCGGCCCGCCTGAGAACTGGACTCAGACGATGCCTCTGCTGTGATGATAAGGCAGAAATGCTGAGAGCAGCAGGGTTCAGTTTGTTCTGCAGGGAGCTAAAATACACTTTCCTGCTGCAACAGCTGTCAGCTTTCCCTCACTGTGTGGGAACTTATTATTAGGCCACTGGACGCTAGTATTAACCTGAGGCTAAACGAGAATAAATTCACTCTTTCAACTTTTAAATGCCAACATTTACTTTTGTAGTTCTCAAATTAAGCACTGCAAACGGCACAAACCAGCTGTGTTCCTCATACATTTCTATTATAAACTGAAAATGTTATCTTGAGTTAATCTTGTGAATCTACATGAATGTTTTCCATAGTTTTTGAGTTTTTCATTCTAGTTCATCTTTATTTCATTGTGACTTTTTGTCTAATTTGGTTAGTTTTAAATGTGTTTGCTAGTTTGTGTCGACCCTTCTGGACCAACGCTAACGCTAAAATTATGCTAACACAAAAGTTGTGCTAAGAAGTTTAGCATGGCTTGTGTGTTAGCATGCCTTGTATTGTTTGTTGTAAAGTGGCTTTTGCTCTATTGACCCTTCTGGGCCACCAGGGGGTAACTGTGGTAAAATGACAACTTAATCTATTTACTTGGGTAAATTTAACTTGATTACTTGTAAAAAATTAGCTATTTTTTAAGTTGCATCACCTGTTTTCTTTTATCAGTGTAGAAAACACCAAGCAGAAAATATGATAGATGCAATGATGCATGAATCTCAAAGACAATATGAAAATAAATACCCTGAATTCAACTATTATATGGCTTATTGTTTTATCTAATCAAATCCAGTGTCGTGACTTAAAAACTTCTTGTCTGAGCAATTAACTTTTTAATAGATTTTGATTCTTATTCAGAATAAATACAATTTAGAGATAGGCGTGTCTGTTCACATTTTGTTTCCACTTTTTTCTTTCTCAAGCTAAAAACTAAAAATTGCCTAAATAACTTAACATTTGCAAAGACGACCCGGAAAACCCAAAAGCAGCGACGATCCGGAGTCTAACGGAATGCAAACTTTTTCATGCGACGGCCAAGCAGGGCAGAGAGCCCCTTCTTAATTTGAATTGCAAATTAAAGCTGTGGTTGCACAACACTGGTGGGTCCACTCCTGAAAGGGGAGATTAGATTGAACGACCACCCCTCTGAATCCTGCATGACCCAGTTAGAGCGCTGTTGACGTGTAAACTTCAGGGTACCGTGACCCGCACACCAAGGGTCAGTCAGGTGGATTCAGTTCATTACGACCTCGTAATGATGCTGCTCCTCTTCCTCTTTTCATTTGCGGAAACTGAGCATTCCAATGGCCCGCAGTGACTGATACATGCAGCTATTAAAGCATCAGTAGAAACCGTGTCTGGGGCATCCTATTGTGTGTAGAGCATGGAGTATTCGCCTCGTACTGCCATATAGGTCGAACCTGACATTTCCCTTCTCTCTCTGCCTAGATTCCGTCCAATTATGGCCAAGAAACGCCAAGAAAAACATTTTTTTTAGGTTCTTCAAACTCAGAAATTCCCCCCCCCCCTCCCCCCCAAGAAAAAGGAAAATTTACACACAATTTTTTTACTTTTAAATCTACAAATTCTACAAAATTCCTGAGTATTTTTCCTGGCAAATTTTACATTTTCGGCAAAGTTTTTTTTTTTTTTTTGTTTCATGTTTTAGCATGAAACATATCTATACGCCTGTAAGTTTGTTTGTTCTTTTAAAGCATCCAGAGGGATTTTTGCTGGAAGCAGCGGGTGTTACTGTTGTCCTACCTGGCCAAATCCAGGAAGGAGTCGGTGGTCTCCTTGTTGCTGCTCACGCTCTCCAGACCCAGGCTGTTGGTGTTCAGGGCTCCGGCGCCCACCCCCGGCTTGATGATGAAGGCCAGCGCCACCCCGATCCCGGAGGCGATCAGCGTGGTCACCAGGAAGTAGGCGACCGCGATGCCGCCCAGCTTGCCCAGGGAGCGGGTGTCCAGGCTGGCGGCGCCGGACACCAGGCTGCAGACCACCAGCGGCAGGATGATCATCTTCAGCATCCGCAGCAGCATCTCTCCCGGGAAGGCGAAGTGGCTCATCTGCGCTTTGCTCAGGTTCATGCCGCGGACCAGCATGCCGAGCCCGACGCCCACCAGGACGCCGGACACGGTGAGGATCACCAGCAGGTTCCTGCTCAGGAACCGGGTCAGCCTGTCCTTGCAGCCCTGCTTCTTCTTCTCCTCCTCCTGCTGCTGCTGCTCCTCCTCAACGGGCTCCTCGCTGTTCTCCAGCATCCGGGCGGTGGACGCGGAGCTGGGCATGGCGTGCCCGTTGATCTCGCTCTTTTTCTCCATCTTTTTTTTCCGAGCGGCTCCACGCAGCGTGGGTCGAGTGCTCACACACGGAGTGGTCGGCTGTAAAGGCTGAGCGCAGAGGGGGCGCGTTTAGCCAATGGAAAGGGCGCGACGACGCACAAATCCAATGGCGCATGCGCATTAAGCTCACTCCGTTATGGTAGGAGCAAATGATGCAAGAGCTGAGGAGATTGCTAAGGTCTCACTGTGATCAATAGGATGGATGATCAACCTAATAAGTACCAAGAATGCTCTAAAAAGTGCGCAGTTTGCGTCAAAACTTGTGGCCTACAAGCGTTTTATGCACAAATGAAGACAAGCAGAACCTACAGGTGTGAATTGTTGCATATTTTGGTATCCATCCTATAAGAGAAGGGGTACAAAGTGCATCCAAATTAGATTTTGTATATTTTAATTAGCTTGGTTAAATATAGCAAGCATTTTGATCAATCCTGATCTTAATGACCTTTTCGAAAACTATATGCCTTGCTTTTAACACAGCAAACTTGCAAAATCTTTTTTAAGTTTATGAACCAGGATGAATAGCATCTCTTTACTAAAATAAATAAGAAGCTATTTGCTTGACTTTATTGGAAGAACAAGCCTTTGCCAACAGAAATATCAAAGTTTATTTTATTCGGGTGCTTTGCTGCAACAAACAGGCTTTTATTTTCCCACATATCTTCAACAGTGTTGGACTGAAGTCAGGTTAATTCAGAAGTTCAATATTTCTGTCACCCATCTGCCATTAGAAATCATAGTTGAATGCAAATGGCTCCAAGGTGTGGGAGGAGGCGGCGAAGCTGCATCCACATGGACAATGATGATTGTGTCAACGTCCAACATGGCTCTCTTCCTGTAAGTTGTTCTGCTATGGCCGACTCAACACTCGTATGATCCAGTTTCATCTGGACTCTTGTCCAGGTAAAGAATGTATTTGGGACTCTAGGGGCCTCATGTATAAAACTGTATATGGACAAATGTATTAAAGTGCAAAGGTTGCACGGATGAATGCAAAGATGAATCACAAATCCAGTTGAGATATCATGAAAGAAACTTTGACTTGTTCAAATATAATTGAAGATATCTTGAATTATTAGTCAGAATGCTAATACAGATTTCATAAATTGCAATTATGGAAAGTCAAAATGCATCTCGGGGTATCCCAAACATTAGATAACAAGGCGAAACCAAATTTATGCCTAAACGGCTTGCCGTAGAGTTTGGATCGCCTCTTCTGTGTACTACACTTGTTTGAACGCCAGATGGCGCCATTGTGAAAATTTCTAGATTTATAGCAGCGCTTTCGGAACATACAGTCTTTTTTTTTTCAGACGTGAAAAGAGTTCATTTTTCCAACTTTAACTTAACATAATTTATACATAATCCAGTTACTCCTTGAGAAAATCACAACTGTTAAAACAAATATTGACTGTTCCAGCAAAACTGCTGTGTTTACTGCTTCGTTTTGCTTTCCTCTGCACAACTGTTGGAGTTGCAACAAAAATAAATCAATCTTAAAGTTATACTTGTAACGAGTACAGAGATAAAGTGCCATCTTTAAACCCAATTCATTCGAAAATATCTTAAAAATACACGTTTAACGGTCATGTAATGGATATTTGAAGTAAGAAAGCTTGTTAGAGTATTTGAATAAGGCATGCCTAAATATATAGATAATAATGGTAAGACATTTTGAGGCTGTAAAAACGCCCACATCATCACTCCTCCACTATCATGCTTGTCCATTGGTGTGATGTGTTTTGGTTTTCTCCAAACATGGAGTTAAAAATCTCTCTTTAGCTTTGTCTGCACTCAAAAAAAACTTTAAACATTTCAGTCATGGTGACATTTTTGTTCTACTGAGATTTCTTTTTGATACAAGCTTTTTATTATCATTATTATTTAAATGATAAAATTTAACAAGCTAATGATTGAAAGAGATGAAACTCGTTTGTTTTTTCGCTTATTCAAACACAGACACAGATAATCTGAGTAAACATAGAAAGTCAACCTGGTCGAGGTGAGAAAGATCTTGTCAAATCATAAATCAAGTGTGAGTAATGACATTTTCTGTGACGGTGTTTATTTTTGTTAACCACACCCAGGAGAGCGATTACTGCCTGACTAGTAGAAAATAGAAATCCCTCAAACAGAACCTGTTTGCCAACAATATGAGGCCGACGCATCATGCCGCGTTTCAGAGGAAATTAAGAAAAATCACCTATCAGTCAGGAAAGGGTTAAAGCTATTTGTTGTACACAAAGAAGTAAATACTGTCATTCCTTAATATTGATTCAAAAGGTTCAGGTTACACTGGCAGATTCACTTATAACATGGAAAATGTTTTTTTTATAATTGAAATAATGACTGTGAAACTGCTTTTTTCATCAAAAAATTGACCAAAATAACCTCCTACGTCTTGATGAAACTTTACTTGAGTTAGTTTTGTCTTATTTCAAGTTTCTTACCAAGATATTTGAACTAGAAACCACAAAAATACTTGGTAACTTTTTGTGTTTTCAGGAAGTCCTACATAAAACTATTCAAATATTTTCCATGTGGAGATCATTTTATTTTTTAGCTTCAACTTTGAACATTTTATTGGAAACTAGGAACATTTTAAATTTATATTTTTTATATTCATTCTTTTGTTGATTTGGATTTTTTCAGCAGCATCAGAAGGTCTGTAAATTTAAAACTGGTATATTTAAACCACACCAGGCCACAAAGGTCATTAAATTAAAAATGCAAAAATCGGTTTGATGTTTTTTAAATGTTTTTAGCTTCACTTACTTTCTAAACTAATGTTTTAGGTTTTATTAAAGTGGATACACTGAATAGACACAAAATATTACCAAGTATTTTTGTAGTTTCTAGTACAAATCTCTCACTACACTTCAAATAAGACAAAACTAACACTCAAGTAAATTTTCCATTAAAATAGAGCTTTTATTTTAAATCAATGCCCTTAATAATGATGCAAAAGTTCTGCATTATTTCACTCATAACAGGAAAAAATGTTATAAATTAATTAATCTGCCTGATTTCAAGTGAACTAAATCAATAAATACCTGGTAAAATTTTGTTTTTGGAGTGTTATTGTTCTTGACTTCTGGTCAGGGGCTGAACAAAGCCATTTCAAGGGCCGCAAATGGCCCCCAGGACACACTTTGTACCTTTGCCAAATATCTCACTGAAAAGTTACTTGTAAGTTAATTTTGTCTTATTTCAAGTGTACTGACTTATTTGCAAAAGAAGCTAAACAAAAAATATGTTATTTTGGACATTTGTCTAAATGTGTCAACCTAAAATAAGTCCAAAAAAATAAAGATGAATATAAACAGCAACAAATAATATGAAATCTACATTTGAGTTTGATTTAAATAATTTAATAATGCATGATTTTGCAAGTTTTCCCCCACATAAAGGGCTGCAGTATCGTGATCAGAGCAGCAGAGAGAAGCAGCCTCCTGCCGCCAGTCCTGACTGTTGTCTGCGTTGTCCTCGCTGACCTCAGCCGCGCCGTTGCTAAGTTGAGTTAAACTTTGCCTCCCTCCACACACAGAGAGACAGCCTGTCCCTTTCCCCTCACAGCTGTGTGGCCTGAATGCTGGAAATAGCTGCCGGAGCCACGGATGTTTAACAGTGGCTAACGTTGGCATTGTGAAGCGGCCATCTGGGATTCATTAAGGAGAAACGATCATTATCCTCTGTAACGATACGATGCTGCACGCAGACTCAAAGCTGAAAATCTGAGCACGTTTAGACATCTTCCTGCGCTATTATTTTTTCTTTGTTTCCTATAGTCTGGGTTTCCTCTCGTTCACTTTGATTCCCTCCGGTGGAATTTCTACTGGTCCAATCAGCGACCAGAAGAAGTTGTGAACGATGACAACTGTACACTAAGATAATTATGTATCATTGTTATGCGCTGTCAAATTAAATTTGTAGTAATTAGAAAATAATAGTTTAAGATTTCTTTTCAATTAGTGAAACTTTTAATTCAGACTGATGAAATATTCTTGAATTGTGAACAAGGCCCACACAGAATCAGTCCAACGGCCACATATGGCCCCCAGGCCTCATTTTGAGCACCCCTGACTTGGTCAATTGAGTTACTGAAACAAACTTTTCAATAATATAAACAAAATGTAGAATACAGGAAAAAAGTGTACAGTATATGGCATGCAAACAGAGCAAAACCAGGAGACGATACTTTTTACACTTTATTGTATATTTATATATATATATTTATATATATAAAACTACAAAAGTAAGACCGTTTTCAGTTCATAAACAGCTGTGAAGCTGAGCATTTTATTTTCTACAGACCCACCGATACAGTGATCAGCTGATAATTTCTCTCTCCGTGTTTGTTTTGTTGCATAGAAAAAGGCACAGCGCTGAGGTCTGCGAGTTACAGGCCGTGTTGAGGGAATCCGCCGCACGCTTGGACGCAATTAAACCGATTTGGTGACAAACACTGATTGAAAAGTCTTAGGAGCTTGAATGTTGGTCATACTATGTACATTACTTTTGGCATGAAAGCATCCATGATAGGCTTTGGAGTCTTGACATCTGTAGGTTTGAGACCGTTTTCTTTAAATATTGCTGCTTGAATGTGAACTGTTTGCCTTCAACCGGAAAATGATGAACAAAAACAAAAAGTACAAAAGATATAAAAAGTTGTGGCCACCCCACCAGAAGAAAAAATAAAATCCAGAACGCAACAAACCAACAGAAGATGACAACCTATGTATATAAAAAAAATGGCTTCCACCCAGTTTTCACACTCTGATACATTCCTATCTAAAAGTACATTCCTAACACACATTCTGTACACACATTTACAATCCATGTGTCCACTTCACATCAAAAATAAATATATTTACACAGAAAAGACTAAAAAAAAAAACCCAAGATGAATAAATAATTTCAATGGAAATTAAACAAAAGCACTCCAAAAAAAATTTAAAACACACAGAAAGAAACAAGACACAGTCGTCTGCAAACAGCATAACGTGGCTCTTGACTCACATCTGAGCAAATACTCTCCCAGGGAACCCAGAATTTACACCCCCCTACATCCTCTGAAACACCGTTGGACACAAGGGCTTCTCCAGATGTCTGATAATTATTTTAAGATAAAATAAATCTCTTAACTGTCTTTTGAACCCTCCCTTTGGAACGTAGCTCTGATTGGCACAGTTCCATTACATGGTGCAGCTCAGATTGATGAGGTTTTCAATTTCAGGTAGCGTCACACTATTGTTTTCCCGAACAGCTTTAGCATTTACTGACAATGCTACAAAATTGACTTTTACAATATCTTCTTCTCACTTTAATCCAGTATTTAATAATCACTTCATTCATTCAGACTTTCTAATTTTGGTTTGAGTTCTCAAGGGTTTTTGCATATTAGCTGTTTACTTTCTTTTTCAGAAGCTGTCAGTAGCACAAAAGGTGGTGTAACAGTCTGTTGATATTTAAAGTTATTATTGTCTTCATTCTGAAAATTTGCAGTTTGAATGGCTTAAATATTCTCTGAAACTGCAAAAATTTGCTCCACAGCGCCCCCTGTAATGTTAATTACATTTAAGTAGTAGTCGAAACAAGAAGTCTTGGCAGGATTCCATTCAGGATTGCATTGTACAATACAGCGCCATCTACTGGCTATACACTGGCAGTGAGGTGTAAATAATTAATCCTGTGAGATTCAGATACAAGTGGACAGTTTTGAAAGGCAAATTATTAAATCTCAATTGAAAGTCATCATTCAAAACCAGATTAGTGTTTCTGCAAAATGCCCGTTTTGTAAGCTGCCTCTACCTCCAATCGAGCCCTTCAAGCCCTGCAACGATTTAAGCTTTCAGCTAAAACAGAGAAAATGCCAAGGATAGATGGCTTTGTTGTTGTCACTGTTGCATTGCCATAGTTTACAGGTCAGTAAAAAGTGGCGCTAACTGGAGTGAAAACCAAACACCTAACTTTTTGGGCTGTTCCATGCAAAGGAAAAGTGCCAAAAGTGTTCAGAAATGCTGCTTCTGACATCCTGAATTTGAAAGAAATGCAAAAAGGTTTCATTTAATAGATTATATTTAGATTTGTAAGGCTTTGTGACAAACATAGTTTTAATGCACCACAGTGCATGGCTGAAACATCAGGTCAACGCTGTGGTTTTGGTTTCCCACTTCCGTGGAAATCTCAATTCAAATTTCTTCCGTGATACTTTTAGCTCTCCCGCTAACATTGGGTCTATTGGAGAAGTAGCAGGACTGCTTGCTAGCTAGCATTTCAGGCTACCTATTACTAACACATGTAAACAAACCCCGTAGAAACGGGGAGTGTGAGTAATACTGTAAGCCCTGCTGTTACCAAATCATAATGTTTTCTGCCAAAAATAAATAAATAAATGCATCAACTTTGGAGCTTTTCCAGATCATCTACGTCCAACTGGGACTGGGGAGACGGCTGCTTATTTCTTCGAGTGTAAACCAGTGTTACCAGTGGGTGCAGCTCGTTTGAATACCTCTGCAACTGGTTCGTGATAACTGGCTCATATAACCGAGCTCATGTAAAACAACAACCAGCAGTTGTATTACGACTGTGTATAAGTTATGAAGACAAGCAGAGGTACAGAGGGCTAGAAGGGCAAAAAAAGTAACATTTCAAAAACAAAAAAACCCCAGAAAGCCTGGCATTGAATTCGTAGACATGTGTACACAAACATACGCTCCCTTCTAGTAAAAAGTTTAAACAACAACCTGGTGATGTGTTTAGAGCTACTCCTAAAGCATTATTGCAGAGCCAGGCTAATGTGGAAATCTATGGAGGTCCAAATGTGCCAAAATGTGATAAATAAAACAAACATAATACCCAGCACGTTTTGGTCTACATTGGACTATAATACTCAGACATAATTACATTTTAATAGCACCCTTTTGTATTTTATTTCAATAATTATGGTTATATTTATTTATGTCAGGGCTGCAACATTGATCAAAGAAAAAGACTGGCACATTCTCCAGATTTTTCATTTAACTACTTAAGCTTTTTTTATATAATATTAGGAATATAATAGAAGATGCAAATTAGCAAACTATTCTGTTCAATCAACAGTTTAGTGCCTAAAATGCAATAAAATACATGGCTCATTTGTAGCAAACGATAAATCTGCAGCTAAAACATACTTCTAGCATCAACGTATGAAAATCTCAGCCCTTTCTGCTCAATATTGCATCTATGCAGTATAGGACGTACCTGTTTATTTTGGGATTAACCAATCAATAATTAGAGAAAAAGGTGCTTAAAAGCTGCTATTTTTTAAATTTATTTTTTACTGAACTTGAACTAGGTGAAACTACAGCTACTTGAGGAGTTTTATCTCGAACATATTTACAGAAAAACAGTTTTCTTAAATCTTAAGAGTTTGTTTTTTGTACATTTTTGGCTTACTCATCTGAGAATGTTTTCTTTTTTCAGCAATTAGCCTTTTTGAGTTTATATTTATTGTGATTAATCCAATTGATAATTTCAGCCCTACTGAAAATAAAATAATTTACCAGACTATTTATTTACTACATCTTGTCACTTTTGGCACCCCATAGACACCAATAAAACAATGTCTTCCACCTTAAATGCTTGCTTTACAATTAAAACATTGTATCTGTAATAAGATAAAAATTAAATAATTATCATTTGATCATGTAAAATTACCTCAACAAAATTTAATACAATATAATAAATTAAAAACATCATGTGACCCTCAGTGGGCTGTTAAAGTGAGAAGAGCGGATAAAAAATACTGTGAAAACCAGGAACTGAATAAGTGGTCATTTGAAAGGCACTCAGCTGCTAAAAGCCATAATTACAGTGTGTGTATGTATATGTTTGTTTTGTATTTCTGTACCTGTGAGGAGTGCATATCCCCACAAGGATTAAAAATAGAAATATTTACAGTTACTCTTAAGGGTTAAGGCTTAGCTTCAGGTAAAGGACTAGAAAGGAAATTCATAAAGTTCCTCACAAGTATAGATATACAAATTCTGTGCACTACAAAAACACAAAACCTTACCATTTTTAGTGTAGTTCATAGTGCAAATATCTTGGTACACTTGATATAAAATTATAAAGTGACTATGCATTAACATATAGGCGCTTGATTTAAGTAAATAATTCCCTAAAAGTGCCCCACTATGCTTCCTTGAACGGTCAGGATAGATCTATAAAATATACAAAACATGTTAATTTCATGTTTACACAAATTTTTTTTTTGATCTGGCAAGTTCTGTTTACTTTAGCTCCTTTCAGAATGAGCTATTTTAGGGCTCTGTCACTTTAAATCAAAAATGGTGCTGCTGGTCAACGTTTACAATCGCAAGTGAAAATGGCTTCAAAACGATGTGCAATTTTACAACCATACATCTTTGAAAAGCAGACGAAAAGCCTGAACAACTTTAAAAAGAATGCAGCAAGTGTTTTCCAGCTGACCAAATGCACTGGAGTACTTGAGTTGCTAGGTAACGGGGTTGGGCTTTTTGAAAAAGGTTTTTGTTCCACTGGCAGATTATTCTCCTTCCAACATGGGAAAATGTCTTTGTAATAATTTGCCAATGGAACGAGAACTTTTTAAATCAATATTAAGAAATTATTTACTTAAAATAAGCTCATTTCTTTGTGAAAAGTTACCTGTGAGTTAGTTTTGCCTCATTTCAAGTATACCAAGATATTTGAACGAGAAACTAGACCCAAAATACTTTTGTTTTTGCAGTGAGTATGCTTTGCTTCCTCGTTACTTCACTTCCACACCTGGAAAGGCGAGCACAGTGCACGAACAGTGTTGTGTAGAAGTAGTAGTTGTCATAGTAGTACTAGTTGACATCACCTTCGATGTTTACAATTACCGACCTTAGAAGAAAAAGTCTTTTAAAGAGATAAAAACAAAAGCAATCCCAAATTTTTCCATCCAGTCTGTTTCTCCAGGTTCATAAAAAGTTTCGCAGGTGGAGGTCAGGCTGTCGCTGAATCACGACCCCACCAGCACCTCCATTATGTGGTCCAGTTCTGTCAGATCAATTTTAAAAGGCTGATTGGCTGAAACCTGGGGGGCGGAGCCGCTGTACGGCGACGCCAAAGTTTTGAGGAGGTCGTCGGCATTCACCACTGGCGAAAGCTTGGTGAGGCCGCCGCCGCCGGCTGTGACACCTACGGCCCCCGCTGTGGTGCAAGGGTCAAAGTCGTACATGGACGTGTCAATATCGGCAAACAGGACGTCGTCCAGCGCCAAGTCTGAGAGAAAACCCGAAGAAGAAGGGGACGAAGGCGAGGGGGAAATGTCTTCCAGGCTAGCAGGGGAATGTGCAGGCAGGAAAACAGCAGCTGCCTCTGGCTTAGCACCCATTGTCCTGCAGTCTCTGGTGGAGCCTGTGGGTGATGAGAAAGGGGACGGAGGGGGGGAGGTAGTTATGGTCATAGTATTAGCGGCTGCTGTCCGTGTAATGGTGGTGGGAGGAGCCAACTCCATGTCACTCGGAGAGGATGAGAAACTGTCGTTTGATAGGACCGTCACACTAGAGGACATCTTGCTCATTAGCACCGACGATGGAGTTAGCGGGGGCGGAGACAGAGGAGGTGTGGGTGGAGACGGCGCGCAGAATGCTGAATTCCCACCATCCTCTTCCAGTAGTGAGGCCGGAGTGAGGCAGGCGTCCACGGGCGCGGCAGAGTCTTCCAAGCGCTGGGGCACCGGGCAGCTGGGAGGCACCATCGGGTGGGGCGAAGGTGGCGGAGGAATTGCCGGCATCAACAGCGCGGATGGTTGGGGCAGGATGCCGAAAGACGGCGGCGCCTCGCGGAACCCCTCGTCCATGGGGTCATCAGGCGGCGGCGAGGGCGGCAGGAACAGCGGCCGCAGAGAGCCCTCCTGCTTGAGCTCATCCTGTATGCGGCGTAGCATGTTGTTGATGAGGACGCGGCGCTCCAGGCTGGGCTCGCCAAGCGGCCGCTGGCTGTAGAGCTTCATCAGGGAGATGTTGAAGATGGTCTGTCTCTGAAGGGTGTAGGACACCTTGGAAAGACCCTCCGAGGCAATGCCTACCCCCGCTCCCGCCACCGACGCCTCCAGCGCTTTGCCTTCCAGGCCCTCTTCATCCTCTTCCAACTTCCGCTTTGCACCTTTACAGAACATATATCTAGACGAAACAAAACAAAAGGAGAGTAAACAAGTTAATCAAGTGCTCAGATAAGAAATCATTAGGACACAAATCAGGTCTAAAGTCTAGTGTTTCTCCTTCGCATTCATTGACTTAAACTCAGAACCTAAATAAAGTTAACTTCATGAAAATCTGTTATATCTTAAGATGCTTCCTTGAACAGGGTAGAATAGGCCTTCAGTGTGTCTATTACTCTTTTTGGACAAAATTATTCTTAGATAAGAATTTAGTCTCGTCAGTTCCATCTCTGAGCTGTTTTAGGACCACTTGTTACTTTAAATCCAAATAAGCTGCTGCTGGCCACGCCTCCAACTCAACCAAGTGTTTGCGAAATAGTGGGTTTTTTTAATCAGCAGAACATATACAAAGTTTTGCACAATTGGTTCCACAATTACTTGATCAGTACATTTGAATGGTGCTATTGTATCCCCTCCTTTAGTGCCGCCCTGGGCAACTGCCCATACCAAAAAACCGCCTCTTTTGGGGCTTGTCGTGAGAATCACTTCATTCATACAGGAACCAAAGTTTTGTTTAGGAAAGTAAGAAGCTTCAAAAAGAAAATGAGCATACTGCATTTGGGGAAAAAATTAAAATACAGACAAAGTGAGCAGCTGGAGAGGAAACCTGAGCTCCCTGCTCAGCACCGGATCATGGGCCAGATTTAAAGCCCAACCTTTGGCCACTCCTCTTTTCATGATATTAGAGGAAGAACCTGCTGGTTGTGGCGGTGAGCAAGGTGCAAGAGGAGCAATAATTTGGGTGATTTTATAAAACTATTCAGAAAACAAAGGAGAAGAAAATGGAAAAGAAAGAAAGGAGCTGCTGCAGTGTGTTTGACTTTAATCCAGGCTGACATGCAGCCAGTCGCCGCCTGAATCACAGCGCATGCGTCTTCTCTCAAACACACACACACACACACACACACACACACACACAGGAAGTGTAAGCTGCAGGCCCAGTCACCACGACCGGTTGGTTGCCATGACAAACCGAGTCAGCTGGGAATTCACCCACCCAAAGAAACGACAGTGAATGGGACGCGGCGGAGGGAGGAAGAGGAGTACAGGAGGAAGATGAGGAAGGCAAGCGAGAAGCGGAAGCAGAGGAATAGGTAAGGTAACGAGGACTCCATCCAGAGATGCAGATAAACACACAATCGCATCTCCGACTCGGCCAAGGGTGTTCAAAGTGAGGTCCGGGGGCCATTTGCAGAACCTGTCCTGATTTCTTGCAGACCCCAACCCCAATTCAAGAATAAATTACTACAAAACTACGACTATTGAATCAAAATTTAGTGACAAAAATTATGTTTTTCTTTTGGACATACTGTGGCGGCATTTTGGAGTAAAAAAAGTCTGGACTACTTTGGCTCCCGGAGTTAGCCGTGGCTGTAAGCTGTTTCCTACTAGCTTCTGGGGGAATGGCTCTGCCTCACCCCGCAGTGATCGACTCCTTGCAGCTGCACAGTGCTGCCGTTCCCCTGCATGGACCTCTGAGTAGCTGCGTCTCAGACTGCCAGGATCTCATCATACTCTCAGTCTCTGATACGCTTCGTCAGTTGCTAATAAGAATAATCGATCTGCCATCATCATCATGGGAATCCTAACTGCGCCTAGACTGCGGCTGCGGATTTCCCCTCTTCGTTTTCCAGCTCCAAACAGAGCCACAAACAGAGCGTCGAGTTTATGCCACTCGACGCTCCGATATCCAAACTTTGCATTATTTTCGCGATCCAAACACAAAAGAATCCAATGTTGCGCTGTGTTTTTTACGTTTCCCTTTTACATAACCGGAAAAGCCGGTTTTTGACATTTCGCTAACATTCGGAGAAATATGGTTTACTTATTTTAGCATAACTCCGGTTTTACTTGGCCTATTAACACAATTTAAAAACTGGTGTGTAGTTTATAATGTGCACTTTAAGCACATGTTGAAAGTGAGACGGGGAGGCTGAGTCTTGCTGCTATGGCATAACAAACCAGACATGTTAAAAAGACGATATAAGACCCAATGATTTAACGTATCGATACTCGTGGATGAAAAATCGATACCTTCCGTGGGAGGAGATTATATCGTAGAATCGATATAATTATACATCCAAACACCACAGCAACCAGTGACTCCGCAATATTCTCTGCTTCTTACATTACTCAGCAGACTTTCATCTTGCAAATCTATAATCCAGTATCTAATAAGTTGGGAATTATTCACTGACTCGAACAAAGTATTCACACCTGCATCACACCAAGCGCCATCAGGTTGCCACGGTTACCAGGTAACCGCAACATCTTCTTGGGAAGATGTGAACTTCTCCATATCTTGCCGATAATTTACATTGTGAATGAAGATGGATTAGAGGAAATGAAAGAGAATTCCTGCCAGCAGGATAACTTCTGGCATTAACGCGTTCTCACGTCGGCAATCCTTCACTGCAGCACACCGACTGCTGCCGCTTCAGGAAAATGGAGATTCAGAGTTGCGAGGAATCAAAAAACGGCATTTCAAAGCAGAACGCTGCTGCTGTGTGACTGAGAGGCGAAGCAGCTGCGCATGTGTGACTCACCGAGCCGCGGCAGGCTGTTTGGGCTCTCTCACACACAAGACGCACACAGCGCAGGGCTGACATACCACAAGTGCCCCACCCGTCACATTCCTCTTCATTATCCTCCTCTCGCCTCTGACTATCCGCTCCTTCTCACTATTTCACCCGTCTTTAACATCCTGCAGCTTTAATTCCTCCAGTTTCTCTACAGTAACTCTGTTTAAAAGAAAAAAGAAAAACAGATCGTAAAAGAGTCAGAGTAATAAAGCACAGGAGTGGAACGGGGTCACGCTGACTGAAAATCCTATAGAGTCAAAGTTAAACTATGGTGCCAAAACTTTCTGAAAGAGTTTCCTTCAGAGAAATGCAGTGAAATAAAAAACGTCCTGACGTTACAAAAACAATGTGTCAGTGAAAAAAAAACAACGGTAATTTAAAAATATATATATTTGTTTTACATTTATTAATTATGATTAAGCCTGTAGCAAAAAGCAATTTTGCAGTTAATCACAATATCAATTAAAATGAGTTTAATTTCCATTTGGATACTTAATATCTTTTGTAGATCAATTTTGTTTGTGGAAATATAATTGTATTGGTTGTAAGTGGGGCTCCTTCTCCTTGTTTTTATTGTTTTAGTTTAGATATTTAAAATGTCTTCCATTTATAACAATATGTTATTTGAAAATGGTCTAAAAACCACAACATTGTCATTTATAATATTATCTACCATCCAGCAAAATCTGTTATGACAGGGCTAACTATGCTAAATTTTTGTACTACTTTTGTAAAGCTAATACCTTTCTAAACCCATTTAAAAACAATCTAAATGAGTAAATATCTTCTGAAATATCTGATATTGTGGTTCAAATTTATTTTGATCTGCATGGTCTAAAGTTGATATTTATAACGCATTTGTTATATCAACCCTTGTCGAACCAAAATTACCTTCCTCTTGTAAATATGGTTTATTGGAGACAAAAAATCACATTTCCTTACAGTGGACTATCACAGAAAATGACTTTACTTCAATACAAAATGAAAAAGTCCAAAATAGTTTGAGAAAATTTAATTATTAATGGTACAAAATGACAAAATGAACTAAAATTAAATAATAATCACTTTTAAAGCAATGTCTAAGATTATTTTTGCAGCTATAATAAAATTGTTGCATGTTGTATAAATACAACAAGCAACATTTTCAAGGGAAGTTTTTAAACTTTTCCAGCAACATGTTGGAGATAAAAACAATACAAATGAATTTTTTAAAAAAAAGACAATTTCAAGTCACTATTGTATGATTAAAATATTATAACTAAAATAACAAAATGCTTAGAAAATAACTTCATACACTTTGCACACTTCACTAATTTAAGAAAAAACACAAATCTAAATTTTAAAAAATTGCCTATTTTCAATAACTTTCTTATTGATAAGTGATGGAGCCATTAGGAATAATCAATATTCACTACCAAGCCTAACAAATTGTACTAAGGTAAATAACCTTCACGGTCAAATTATATACTAAGAAAGTTACAAAAAATATACACAAATATGTTCTATATATGCTTTTTAGCATTTGCAAATACAAATAATTTTGGTAATTTAAAAGTTTCGCTTCATTTAACTTTAGACAGCAAAAAAAAAAACAACTTTTTATTAGAAAATATCTGGATTCAACTGTAAATAACATTTTCCAAATTTAGGATTTTAATCAAACATTATGTTGCATTTTATCACAAAACTGTGCAGTTTGAATATGAAGCACTTTCTAAATAAGTCAAGGACTTCAATGGAACCCTGATGTAAATAAAAGCAGATGTTTTGCTTTAAATGCGAATTTTGTTTTACCCATAAGGTTACGATGACATCAAAATCACAACCCATATCCGGAGGAAAAAAAAACGAAATCCTTGGCCGCCTATGTTTTCTCTTCCTTTAGCTGAACAAGGGTTAACTGCAGTTAACGAATCCATGCCAACTTTCAAAGCATCGCTACAGAATAGGAGGTAAAGTCAGGTGTGTGCATGCATGGTGGGTGCTGGATGCCAAACATTAAACATGCGGTCTGATAATATTATTCCTGGAGCCGGCTGCGTGTGCGTAGTGCAGTAGTGGAATGGTAGTGGACAGCCTCTGCAGTGATATTATGATCCTGTAACCGGATATGCTGGTTTCCATGCCTGAGCTGCACAGCCACCCCTCCCCCTCACCTCCCTCCACGTTGGGCTATTTCAGGTTCTGTGGATGCAAAAAGTACTAACACACACACACAGCAACACTGCTGCAGGTAGATGAAAGTGGTTTTCTCCTGAGTGCATCCATCTCTGCATTTGCACATGCATCCCAGACGAACGGCTGCAGTCATGACTGCGTTTTTCGCTGCGATGCGTCCGACTCTGCATGAGGACGAAACTCTCCAACTCACCTCTGTGAGGATTCACCTACCGCCAAGGTTATTGCAACTAACTGAAGCTAACGAAACAACAAACACTGAAACTGAGAAAACATTTTTGTCAGCTGAAATACATAAAGAAAGCTAATTATAGCATGAGTTTGTAAAACTAATTGAAACATATTGAAGTTATAGATATAATATCCTTTGTTTTCACGTTTACAAATCTATTTATTAGCCTTTCAAACTGATTTCATTTTCACTCCACACACAAGCAGTTTACGTCAGTCCCAGTGCTGGACAATAAATCCATAACAATATTCAATATATAGAATACTCAATAAACTCCAATACTGGGAAATGTGAGGAACTCAGCCTCTAACGGCTAGCTGAGTCAGGTTGGTGGAATCTACTATCTCACTCACTCTTTGGTCACATACCAACAGCCTGCTGAGTAACTTGCGCAGAAGCAGTTTTACTGTTTTTCCACTTTGCCTCAAAACTGCTTCAAAATAAACAACAACAACAACGTGGAGAGAAAACTGTGGATAAAAAAGGAAAGGTAACACCACCAGTTGGGCAGCAGTTCAAATATTTAGTGTGGAAAATGTTTTGGTTAGCAAACTTTTGTAAGCTGTCAAATAAAATGTTCACGTCTTGTAAGTATAGCCAAATTTATTTGTTAAAACTACAAAATGGTGGCAGAGACAGAAAAATATTCTAGTAGTCGTAAAACAATCCTGTTCAGATGATATAAAAATAAAGAAAAAAATAAAAGTTGTTTTTTGAAAATAAAAAAATTACAAGTCGCTTTATGACCGTATGCAACATTAACATTAAATTGTGGTAGTTAAATTATTATTGATGTAATTCAGCTGTGACTTCGATCACTTTAAGCTCATTTACATATATTTTTAGTTAATTCTGTCATTTTGCAGGAAACTGTGGTAGCCACAGCTACCAAAGTTTTCTTTTAAAATACTTACTGAATTAGACAAAAAAAAAAAAAAAAAATCCCAACAAAATAAAACTAAACCAAAAAGAAAAATGCAAAACTACTATAACCCTGAGTGTTTCACTCTCTCTCATGCACAAACACAAAAAATAAACACACATACACACACACACAATGTCGTCCTAGTAAACACATTCCAGACCAAACCCAGAGGAAGAGGTAGCGCATTGTGACCAGATCCCACTAAAGTCACTCTCACAAATTAAGATACCATTACCCCAAGATGACAGCTGAATTATTAAAACTGGTTCTGTGACATTCCTAAAATCCACATTCAAGATTTATTTATCCCAAATTCGGATCTGATCATCGACTTCTCGTTGGTAACCAGGAAAACACACAATGAGAGTCATTTCCTAGCAGCTGCATAATCAGAAACCACAGACATGAAAGTGACACCGTGACACAGTTCGACACGCACCACTCAGCAAATCAAGGTTCTGATACTTCTGATTAAAGAAAAGCTGAGGAGATAGACTATTACGCACCAAAACTGTTTTGTCTTTTTGATCTAAAGAGTCTCAAGGGCAATGGAGAATCCAGAGTTTGATATGATACCAATGAAGAAAGCAATGCCAATGGCAAACTTTATATTAATAACCAATAAGACTGTCACTTCTGGGCGATAAATTGCCTCAGAAGTTATTGTGATAAACGATAATATTGTTGTTTTAAGACCAGTTTCAAGTAAGACAACGGTAATGGCATAATAATGCAACAACACATTCTAGAAGATCAATAAACTTTCAATTTTAATGAACATTTAACACCAAAATATTTTAAATATCCACAATAAACTGGAAAAACAAATAAAAATAATTATGAAGTCTTCATAAACAAAATTGCCCTTCAAAACAAAGAGCTAGTTGAGACCGAAAAAACCAGACCGAAAACATTTTACCACCTAGTTTTTGGTAGAAAAAGAGAAAAACAATAAATCATCCAAATGGCTAACAAGCTTGCTTTAATTTATCCTGGGTTTAACTGGTTTACTGCGCCAGGCCTATCCACCGATGTCAAAACTTGAGCCATCTTTGCATATTTATTAAAGAACACCTGAAATAAATAAACTGATTAATCGATTATTCAAATAATCACTGACTAATTTTGTAATCGATTAATCATTAACTGGAGTATAAAGACTCAAAAAAGGCAATTTTCTGAAAAAGTAATACGCTCAAAGCAGAATTTAGGCAAAACTGCACAAAAAATTATACATTTTCCATTTAAGAAAGTTATGTAAAAAAAGGTGTAAAATAAACTCAGACTCTTCCAGTGAAAGTGTTTCAGCTTAATCCAGTTCAGTTTCTGTCATAAAAATCTCTTATTAAACACCTTAATTGATTTGTTAAATGAGAAAATAAACATTTTTGCCCTAAACTGTATTGATATTAAGTCAAGCAAAAAGAACTGAGATTCTCACACGTCGTACACCAAGAACGCTTTCTTTTTACGCTTTCTTTTTTTTAATTTGGCGCTGTGGGAGACGGCTGCCTCTCCAGTAGCTCTTCAGTTTTTAGCTCTTTTTTAACGTTTTATGTTGCCTCTTCAACACAGAAGAGGCTGTGTGTGTTTTTTATTTATCCTATGGATAATTCCAAACTTCTCACTTATTCGAGAGAGGAACTGCTGGACTTTAGAACAATGGGACAAGCCGGCATAAGACACAACATTCCGGTGGAGCTGAGGAGGAGACCGAGGGGCTGCAAGGCTGGGGCTAAGCTAAAGGCTAAGCTAGCGGACAACAAGAGGCGCTACAAGCCATCGATTCCCACTGTAATCATGGGGAATGTGAACTCGCTGCCGAACAAGATGGATGAGCTGTCTGCACTGAACAACCAGCGGATCTACAGAGAGAGCAGCTTGTTCATCTTTACAGAGACATGGCTGAACCACCTCGTGCCGGACGCTAACGTGGACCTGCCAGGATTCACCGC